TAATTAATCTTATAATTACACCAAAGCATCCCGGACTAATTAAGTTTTTAACTAATTACGTATTTAATATTTATGGAATAGTGTTTTCGTATTTAAAAACAAATTAAAAACCATAAAACGAACAATACAAATAAATACTAACTCTATACTAACATATACATTTTAATCCTTTAAATTTTCACAAGTTTTCAAAACTTCAGGTCACTATTCACATAGGAACAAAATTAAACAGTATCTACACTACACACAATAGGATTTTTTTTAATTACAGAATTATAGAGCATAGAAACGAAGACGACCGCTCGTGAGACGAGACGAGCGCAACTGCCGCACAATGTGACCGTGGGATGAGACTGCTCTGACGAGACATTTAAAAAAAACATGTGATCTTGGTTTAGCCTATAAGGACTTTCGAAGAATTTCTTCTTATTTTTTATAACTTAATATTAGTCTATTTACTAAAAATTTTAGCTTACGAAAAGACTTTCTTTAAAAGCAAATCAATTTACAGTAAAAAGTATACAGTTTTTTTTAAGCCTTGAATTCTGCCACCGAAATTCGTCAAGTATTATACATAAAACCTTATTTTGTGAATGCGAATTATCAAATTAGGCACAAACACATTTGGTATCGAATCAGTGCCTATTTGAAAGGCTTAAAATTTAATAAGAACGTCGCTAAAAGGTGCCAAGTCTAATATCGGTTACTATGGGTCGTTCCATCTATAAAAATTCTAACATCCTTTGTAGTTTTGTACAATCGCGCTCAAAAACAATTATTATTAAGAAGTTTAACTCCATATGTGAGAGGAGCCCTGAGTTGTGTTACTAAAGGTAGTAATTTTAAGTATTTAGTTTTATTTTATTGTAAATATGTGTAATAAAAAGACATTTTGGTAGAAAAAAATACATTTTTTTCTGATGACAAAGAATTGCAATTATACAGGATGTTTCATAGGTGGTATACTAAACTAACTCGTTAATATATTTACTAAATTCTAGCAGAGAAATTATTAATGAATAAATGACGCTTACCCAGTTCCACAAATGCCGCAGAGATATCTGTACTCGTCGTTATGCTTGCAAAGATGGAGTTCCAGTTTCTCCTTGTCATAATATTGCGCGGGACATTCCACACATTCGTATCGCACAGTGCCGTCTGCTTCGTGGATTATCTTAGCAAGTTTCGTCCTTGCCATTAAATTCCGTTTAATGATTTCCTCCACCGATCTCATATCTGTAGGGATAAAATTTATGATAAATATGTTTCAAATGGTTTTCCGTTCGGTAAATAGTAAACAAATATTCCCGCAGGTCTTCAGAAGAAACATCCTATATCCGCGAATTTTTACTAAGAAAACAATCGTTCAAATACATTATGGTTTTGTTCGTTAATAATCAATTATTTAAATAAGATATTTGTTAGGAAGAATGGCATAAACACAAAATTTGATAAAGACAAGAGAATATCTAACGACAGTTTTCCCGCAAAATTATGAATTGTACTTGCAACTTAACTTGATTGACTGTTTAATTTTTTATAAGAATTACCAGGGATATATAGGGATTACGGTTAGGGCATACAGATTGTGGTAATTCAAAATATTTTGGAACTTTAGTTTTTTTATAACTTCGTAATAACATTGTGTTCTCATTATTTTTGTCTCACGCGGGTCAAGAGTGAATACTATTTTTGACAAAACTAAGAATTAGATTTAATAAAAAAACTTAGTAAAGTAAGAGGGTTTTGTCACAAACTATTATTCCAAAAAAGTTTCACGTATTGGACTTCAGAAATACGGTTTAAGGTTTACGGTAAAAGTGAAGGGGTCTTATCGTGGGCATAACATTCGAATTTTGCTTCATAAAAGTCTAATGTTATTTGTACGAATGACTACAAAGATATTGGGAAAAAGTACCATTTAAATTAAAGTTCACATGCCTACCGACTTCAATATATTAACCAAAAAATTAAAGAGAACTGTGGTAAAAAGAAATATAAAAGAAATGTATTTTACGAATGACATATTTACCTTCCACCTTGGTTTCCATGATATAAAATATTATATACTTTAATGTAACACAACAGTTTTAAACTTTCTCACATCCACCGCGTAATATAGCGCAAAGGGGAAATGCCGATCTTGAAATAGTTATCCCTTCCCTTCCAACGGTCGCCCAAGGCCTAAGCTCCCCTCCGCACAGGGGTGACTACCCTTTGTCTACCCTAACATCCCCTACATAAGGGAGGGGACCCCATTTCGTCCGGTAAGGAGGGTGGGTTCACTTAACCCCGCATCGATTCAAAATCTCTCTACCTGAGTCCCGAATTACCGTTAAAAACATAATAATAGTCTTGGAATATTTAGTTTTTATTTATCACACGCACAAACAAAAATGATCGAAACTAAAAAGTTTCGCAAAGAAGAAGAGAAAGAAACTTCAAAGAAGTTTATTTTAAGCTATGTTTTTTAATTGGAATTATTTTTAATTTAGGTTTTTTACTAAGAACAGACTACGCATTAGTCGAAATATTAAAAATACACCAAATTACTTTTTATGTCCCGGATAAATAATTACGTTTACAATTCACAACAACTCACAAACACAAAAACCACAACAATCCACCATAAGGACTAATTCATGAATGACGTATTGTCGTTTTGACGTAAAAGAACGATGAACGAACTCAGAGATGCATGAATGACAAATGAATGATTGAGTTTGTGAGTAGTCTTTTCTATTTGACATAACTTGAAGGAAAGAATTTTTATGATTAGCGTAAATCTACTTCTACGCATTTGAAATCCTTCAAATAATTACAAATTCAAATATGAAGATATAATTACTTTTTATAGATAACTTTAGATAAAATTCACTCATAATTACATTTTTAAAGTTAGAAATTCTAGCCAACTTGAAGAGAAAAAAACCAAACATGTCACAAACTCATAAAGTATAGGTTGTGTCAACGTCAAATCCACGGAAATATTCCTTATCTATGGTTGAATGTCAAAGTTTGAATTTTGAAATCACGTGGTCAACAAGTGGTCAAGTTAGAACAGCACAAAATCGTAAAATCAGTTGATTAATTACCTGTAATATAACATTATATATTAACTATGGATTTCACTAAACAATTAGAAGAATTGGCTATAAACCTCTTCAAAATTGACGCTGTTAAATTCGGCGAATTTACCACCAAAAGTGGTATGAAGACGCCTGTTTATTTTGATTTAAGGGTTATAGTTAGCTATCCAGCTATAATGGTAAAAAAAACTTTGAATTGAAAACATAATATTTATGAATGACTCTGCTTTTAAAATTACTCAAAAATTTACTGATTACAGTCGACTATATAAACATCATCTTTAGTTTGATCCTGCGATTTTGGTTTCCAACACTTTCCTGAACTATTCATTAAATTGACTGCATGTTTTTAATCACACATCACACACATAGAAAATATATTATTAAAATTTTCAGGAATCAATATCCAACCTACTATATACAAGTTCATTGATTAGTCTAGAATATGACCATATTTGTGGAGTGCCTTATACAGCTTTACCAATTGCAACATTGCTCAGTGTTAAAGCTAATAAATCTATGCTAATGAGACGAAAAGAAGCCAAATCTTATGGCACTAAAAAACTTATTGAAGGTCACTTTTCCAAGAATCAAAAATGCTGTATAGTTGAAGATGTGGTAACATCTGGTTCTAGTGTACTTGAAACTGTAAATGATTTAAGGAAAGAAGGTTTGGTTGTTGAGCAGGCTGTTATCATTCTTGATAGAGAACAAGGCGGCAGACAAAATCTAGAAAAAAATAAAGTGACAATGATGTCTCTTTTAACAATGTCGGAGTTGATTAAAATTTTGGTTGACAATAATTGTATCACTAAGGAGATTGGAGTTGAAGTTATGAATTACTTAAACAGTACTAAAGCACCATCTGTGAAATCATCTAAAGGTATTTTTTTATATTAACTTTATAATAATTTTAACCATTCCCGTCTCAAAACCAGATTTTTTTAAAATATTTGTAATCATGTTCCAGAGAGTGCTGTAAACAGATTAAATATGCCATATGAAAAAAGAGCAGAAGTATCAAGAAACTCTATAGCGAAACAGCTGTTCACCATAATGGCTACTAAAAAAACAAATCTCTGTATCTCTGTTGATCTGACATCATCTATACAGATATTGAATCTTCTAGAAAAAGTTGGCGAACATGTGTGTCTTGTGAAAACACATGTTGATATAATAGAAGATTTTAATACCAATTTTGTAGAACAACTAAAGCAACTGGCAACAAAATTCAATTTTCTTTTACTAGAAGACAGGAAATTTGCTGATATTGGTAACACTGTATCACTTCAATACTCAAAAGGTGTGTACAAAATAAGTGAATGGGCAGACTGTGTTACTGTACATTCCTTACCAGGGGAAGGAATTTTAAAGGCATTGAATAGTACCAGTTCAGATAAAAATAAGGGTGTTCTCCTTCTCGCTGAAATGAGCAGTGAAGTAAGTATATTGTTTTTTTTTATGATTCACAACTTTTGTCCAACAATGCCACAGATATTTAGAAACATTGTAATATGATAATTTAATTATTACTTAAGCTAATAAACTAAGCAAATCATTACTGTGATTTTTATCTTACAAGGGTAACAAATTGATTCAATTTTTTTTTATAGGGCAACCTTATAACACCAGACTATACAAAGGCAACTGTGAGAATGGCAGAAAAATATCCACAGTTAATGACTGGATTCGTTTGTCAAAATGCAGTTACCTTTGATGACCCAGGACTTATACAATTAACACCCGGAGTTCAATTAGAAAAACCTAAAGATAATCTCGGCCAAGTCTACAATACACCAGAGAAAGTGATTGAAAATGGAGCTGATGTAGTTGTAGTAGGGCGTGGTATAGTTGCATCCAAGAATCCAGAAACTGAAGCAGTACTTTATAAGAACATTTTATGGAAAAGTTATTCAAAGAGAATTATGGGCAAAATGGAATAATTATAGCTTTCCAAATTATGTTTCATACTATTACATCAACATAAAGCTATAAGGTAAAGACTAATTCACATAGAAATGAAGAAAATTAATTCCCCTGAAGCTAAATTATCAATTTTACTACTTGTGACATGGTTAGATATTAACTGATCAAGAAAATAACAAAAAAATTACAACAAAATCACGCACAAAGATGACATAAAAGTAAATTAATTTTGTTCGGAAAATATAAAATATCAGAAATTGGAAATCGTAACAAATATCGTTGGTTTCTGGGACCAGTCATATCATCATCTCTTTCGTTACTTTAGACTAAACAGAGATAATATGTTTTAAACAAGTATTTTGTTTTCTGAAATAAACAATTACATAATTCATAACATATTAGTAGATAGTAAGCAATGATTCCATTCCATTTTCTATTCATAAAAAAAATTGTATTTTATAGATGTAAGATAATGTGTATTTTTATACAGATTATAAGGCTTATAGCCTGTATTCCTCGATTATATTACTTGGTCAATTTGACTTTGATATATTTTATATAAATAGTTTATTTTGTTTTACATGTAAGAAACAATAATTAAGTATGAAAAGTTTAAATAAAGCTATTTTTACATATTTTAATGAGCTTATTTCTGGCCCTGTCCATTGTTAATAGTTTAATCATTTATGCAACATGAAAAAGAAAAGAATGACAAAAGTAACATTATCTACCTAGCCTCTTACAGAATAGCCTTGTATTGGAAAATTGAACAGGTATTTTCTTCAATAAAATAAAATAACTTTGTGTAACTATAATGCAATATAAACGACGTTTTAAGGTTTTATGTTGAACTTGGTAGAAATACTATTTAACGGCTGGTATCACTGTATCGATCTGTCATGTGAATTATGTCAAGTTGTCAAATTCGAATACAATATGCATTTATAAATTGTTCGTAGGAAAACAAAACAAAGAATTACAAAAAAGTTAAAAATGGATACTATAGTTAAAGAATTAGACATAAATAGCAAAAATGTTTTCCCTACAAATAATCCAAATCTATTTGTGGTAATTGTACACAGCAATTGGTTAAAAAAATGGTTAAAAAACTTGGAAGTCGATAATTCTGTGAATAACATTGATATTGCATTACAACCTGGTGAAAGTGTTCCTTATCCGTGGCGTAAAATATTTATTAGGGTATGTACTTAATTTAAATTTTGTTGTAATTACGCACGAAGGCCAATATTATTGAGAACTTTTGTTTTAGGTAATAAATAAAAAATGTTCCAAGGTTTTACCATTACCAAGGTACAAACTTAATGAGAGCAATCCAGAATCGCCTCTGACTTTTTCCTACCTACTACAATGCATCTCACAAACAAATCAAAGGAATTTATGGAAAGAATCTTTTAAAAAGTATTCACAAAACAATGAGCATAGTAAAGAGACATCATTAGTTAATCTTCTCGAGCATGATCAGCTTTTGTCTGAAGTTATCCTAAGACTTTATGGTTGCAACATAGTTAGGATTAAAAATGACAATAAATCAAATGAGTACAAAGATGTAATACCTAATAAAAACATTGCAAAAACTTATGAGACCCATGTCAACCTATTGGCAGCTCTAATCACTTTGGAGACTGATAATAATTATTTTATCATCTATAGAGGGCATTACGAAAATAGTTTGCTTGACTGTCTTAACTTCAGTCCAAATTTAATTGACAAAACCTATGCTAGAGGATTGTTTATTGTTTATCAGTTACTACATATGTCTAAAGCCATGTGTGATAGAGGCCTCAGTGTGGGTATGCTACGCCTTCAAGATATATATCTATCAGAGAATCTCTGGTTACAGATCATTCCCCCTATAACAAATAACATATTTTGTTTAGATAACTCTTTAATTTATGAATATAATAGGAATAAAACAACTAGCCAACCTATGAATTTAAAAAATAATGATGTAAGTAGGCAAAAAGAGTCAGCCAAATTAGAGCAGCTGTGTATGCTTTGGACTAGAGGAAAAATCTCTAACTTGGATTATCTTCTACAATTGAACATGTTAGCAGGAAGGAGCGCAAATGATCCACAAGCACATTTCATGGTTCCTTGGGTTACAGATTTTAATTCTAGATGTGGTAAGTGACAAAATTTAGTTCTATGTTTAAAATAATGCTTCTTAACACTATAAATATGAAGAGTTGAGTTTGAATACTTAATAAAAATTCAAATTAAAACCCAATGTTGCTATTTGAATTGGTATGAAATTAATTTGTTTGTAGATTTATAAAATTACATGTTAGTGATCAATAATTTGTATTTAGGGAGGAATTGGAGGGATCTGAGTAAATCTAAATACCGTCTGAACAAGGGTGACAGGCAGCTGGATATGACATATGATGTGACAAGTGTCAACGGTCAAATACCACATCATGTTTCTGATGCTTTGTCAGATATTACTTGCTATGTGTACTTAGCAAGAAGGTAAGATAGTTATAGTTTTTAATGCTATTACAGTGCACAACTTTACTTATTTATGTATTTGCCACATACATATATAAGTACACAATTGGGATGTGACAGCTAACATTATGTTAGGGAAGAATAGGTAACTTGGTCATGCTGACCCAGTGCCTATTGGTTGACTTGAGAAATATCTTTGAATTTCCGCACAGATTTATATAGGTTCCATTATGTTTTCCTTTCCTAGAGTTATCTAATTTCTTACTATCTTACTAATATTATAAAACCAAGTGTTTGGATGGATGTTTGTTTGAAGGTATCTCCAGAACGGATGAACGGATCTTACATATAGAACATAGTCTTCTTCTTCTTCCAATGCCTCTCCTTTACTGGAGGTTGGCTGTCAGCTCAGCGAACCCTTTCCTGTCCTGTGCCAAGCGAAAAAGTTGTTCAATGCATAGTTCAGAACATAGTCTGGAAGAGCGCATAGGCTACTTATGTTTTTTTTTAATTCCTCCTGTATGAACTCTCAGGCAACACCTACTATTTATCATTTTAAAATCTTGTACTATATCATTGACTCTTAGCATTAATATGTGGTCACAACAATATTTGTTTTAAATATCTATAAACTTTACATAAGTGACATTCTATTTACTTTTGTATGTTTAAGTGAAAGATAAACAGTACAATACAAAGTTTACTTATCGTTATTTACTTTACACAGTAATGTATTGCCTTGATAAGATGATTTATTGGTCCATATTTAATGTCAACAAGAAATATAAACAAAGGAGGTTTTATAGTTTATAATAAATCTATTAATACGCATATTTATGTGTCACTAACTGTTGGTGTCTGACACCTAAACCTCTGTATAAAACATATTGTTATTCCTGTCATTATCTCTGAAATAAACAGAGATAACAATATATTTTTAATAGAGATTTTGGTGTAAAACTCACGGTAAGAAGCCTAGTAAACAAATAGAATATATATATATCAATATCCTTAATGAATTTCCAGCCTCTTAATATATACCTGTATTATAACAGTGTTACCATGCCACTTTGACAAAAGCTAAGGTAGCAATACAACATAGATTACTTTTATTTAAATAATCATACTTGTTACTAATATTATAAATGCAAATGCATACATGGATGGATGGATGGATAGATGGATATTTCTTTGAAGGTAGCTCCGGAACGGATCTCACTGAAATTTGGCATAGGTGTACAACATAGTCTGAAAGAACACATAGGCTATTAAGTTTTTTTTTTAATGACGCGCGGACGACAGCTAGTACTGTATACAAGAAACAACTCAATCCCCAAAAAGTAAACCTTGAACATATCTTTAAGCCTATATATTTTGTTGAACTGTTTTGTAGATAAGAGTATATAGACTTAACATGTGGTTTTTGTATATCAATAAAGTACATGATAATATTCACATCTGTCAATATAAACTTTGGATATGTTGATAAATATGAAAACATTTATGAGAGTAACAATTTATACTTTTTTATGCTACAGCCAACAAATATCTATTTGTATATTAAATAACTTGCTGTCGCCCGCGACTCCGTCTGCGTGTAATTAAACAAAAAACATCCGAATCTAAACTTACGTAATGACAAACATCCGTCTAAACTTTCGTATTATTAATAGTAGTAAGGTAAATAAAAAAAAAATTGCTGATAGGCATACCTCCATCTCTTTCTTTTATATCTATATGCTTTGGGTACAGTACAAAATCGAGAATTGAAATAAAAATTATACGGAGGTTTTCTAAAACATGAAAAAAGTTGCCTTTCCTTCATTAATAAAAACAGACACTACAATATGTATAGTCAAACAAGAATCTCTGGACTTGTGAGAGGCGCTGCTATCGGTTGGTTTTATCAGAAAATATATAAAACCTTCATGGACATAACAATGGCATAAAATAAAAAAAAACACATGACAGTTACCGTAACGTTAAGGATATCGTGACACTTTTTTGACATTAATAGGAGGACGCTAGTGTGCTGTCATAATTTAGTTTCAATTATGCCTATTTTGTCATTTAACTTGTCGGTCTGTACAAGTGTTTTTGCAGACGAATTTTGCGGTAATTATGTATTGTAATAATTTCAGAACGCCAAAGGAGATCCTTTGTAAATATGTTCGCAACAAATGGGTACCAGCGGAGTATCCTGGTTCCATACAGCGTATGCAGGAGTGGACGCCCGATGAGTGCATACCAGAGTTTTATACAGATCCAACTGTCTTCAAGAGTATCCATGAAGATTTACCGGTAAAAAATATATTTAAACTATTTTTTATTACATTTTTACGCACTAGAGCCTTAGTCTTCGTTAATGTGGACTAGCTGTCGCCCGCGAATCCGTCCGCGCGAAATTAATAAATAGCCTATGTGTTCTTCCAGATTGTTCTACCATCTATTTATAAATTTTATCGAGATCTGTTGAGAGACCTTCAAACAAACATAAACATTCGTTATAATATTAGTAAGATTTAGTTTTGGACTTCTACGCTTAGAGCTCTAACAGTGTTCAATTACCAAGTTTGAAGCTTTAGTGATAACAATTTTAGTAGAATGTTGTACCGATAATGAGGTATTCCACAGGATCTTGGTATACCGTCGTGGGCCACCTGTGCAGAAGATTTCATAACAAAGCACAGGGAAGCACTGGAGAGTTCCCACGTGTCTGAGAACTTGCATCACTGGATCGATATTACTTTTGGCTACAAGTATGTAGATTTTAATCCTCTAAACACTATACTACTTTTTTGTTATTATATAAATTCTTGTTACTCCACTTTTTGTTACTTATATAAATCGATTAAGTTATTTTCCGTATTTCTACCTAATAAAATTCCCCATTGATGAAATATTCAAGATGACAGGTATTCAAACCCAATTCCCACTTGCATTATTCGTAGATGTATGACTGTGGAAGAAGCGAAAGAGATGTGAGTGGAAAGCACCAAATGTGGTCTGTATACTCTGCCTACCCTCTGACTTACGGTCGTGACTGTTGTTGTTATTGTATAAATCTAATACAAAATTGATGATAAAAAAGATAATTTTTAGATGCAGAAGTAGCTAGGTGTAATATTAATACAAGAATCATGGTCACCTATTGCTAGTGTAAGAACAAAGTTACAAATTCCCCAGACTATCAGGTACAGCGGCAGTGAAAGCGAAGAATGTGTGCCTCTCGTTAGTGGACGGTCACTCGCGCATGCGTCGTGGTGGCGCCGTCCAGCTCTTCTGTGCCCCCCACCCTGCGCGGAGAGCGCGCGCACCCCCGCCCGCACCTATACGTATGCGCTGGACCACGCCCAATGCTAGTAAGTCTACTATCCTCTCATGTTCTCTTTTCTTAGGATTAATAGCTTTTGTCCGCGACTTTGTCTGCGTAGAATTAAAAAAAAGTAAAGAGTATCTCATACTCGAAACTACGTTCTATATCTGTTTCAAATTTTAATAAGATGTGTCCAAACGTATGCTGAATCGTACACATTTCCGACATTATAGGTATGTGTTCTTCCAGACTGTGTTCTAAATCTGTACCGAATTTAATCGTGATCCATGCAGTCGTTCTCGGATACTTTTTAACAAACATCCATCCATCCAAAAATTATACATATACAGTAATATTACACTTTTTACTATTTCACAGAAAAAATTGTCAAAAATGACAGTTCAGAAGAAATGACAGAGGAAGAAGAAGAATCAAATAGTTTGCCACAGCACGTGTCTCGTCTCCAAGTTCCGTCACAACGCGTCCGTTCGCGTCACAAAAGCAGCAGTCGAGCTCGGTCTCTCTCTAAAGCGCAAGATGGCGGAGATGACGTCATCACGGAAAATAGAGCATCCTCACATTCCAGACATTACAAAGTACAGCGCTCAGAACTAGGGAAAGGCGTTATATATCTACCAAAAGAATTCAATCCCGCTGCATCTATCCAAGCGTTAGAGGTTTTAGACAATTTCAGAACTAAATGTTTCTTTAGCAAAGCGGAGGATAAGAAAAAAAATGAGAACGCACATAAACTGAACTTGTTTCAACTACAGAAAGACGCAAAGGAAAATTTCAATTCGGGAAAAGAAAAATCTGATGATACAGCATTTACTAACCACATGTTCTTCGCGTCGTACGATCAAGCGTATTTAAAAAAGTTCAGCCAAGACGCACAGTTAGATAATGCTTTAAAAGAGAGGAAGAACAGAATGTTCAACACGAGATACACCACAGATGCGTCGATATACAAGCAGTTTGTTACTGAAAGTCGACAACAGGATATGTTGGTGATCGGATGTCTCATTGTGGAAATTTTCCTTCACGCATACATGCGTCCACTGCGGACGAATAACGATGACTTTGTAGATAGATACAATAGTTGTCGAACAGTATTAAAGTTCAACTTTAATATGTTACCTAAATGCGTCAGTTATATCGCCTCGTTACTTCTAAACGTTCAACCTTTAAGTCTTAGCTTCAAAAATGATCTCATACCTTTAACTGAGGATACGAAAGGGGCGGTTGTAACAGACAAAGGTTTACCCCCTCCTACACCCGCGCAGCTACTCCAACCTTTACTAATGCAACATTTGATACCTTTCCCACAAAGTTTTAATATCTTATATAATCTTATAAGCACTTTACATGAATACGAACTTACAAGCAACGAACTTAACTTGCTTTATATGTACGAATGTGATGGAAACCATTGCGAGAAATATAAAAATGTAGATAAAACTAAACTGTATTTTAATCAAAGAATCGCCGAAGGAAAAATTAAAGCTTGTATTACACATTTGGGAGTTCTTCTCGAACAGATAAACTGCGTCAATCAGCTCGATGTACTCGATATTTTCTTGTCGCATTACATCGAGTTATTAGAAAATAAAAACACATCGGTTTTAGCAGCTTGGTATCTCTTCGATACTGTAAGCAAAGCTTTAGGACCTGCGGAGACACGGAAAAAATTATTAAAATACATTCTAAATTTGTACGAAGATGATGATCTATACGATAAATCAGAACAACATAAAATAACTGAAATAGATTCTCTAACCAATGGAACTGTGCAAATGAAACATAAGTTCGTCAAACTGTATCATCATATCTTTCTTTTACAATTGATAGTGAGGTTAGGACTTCAGTGCTTCCTGGACAATTTCACACAGCATCTCGTTGAGGCGGTGGGTGGATATAAGGACGTTTGCTCAGTAGTAGGATCACCAGGTCACCTATGTCATAATCGTGCAATGGCTAACAAGAAACCACGCTACTCCGACGACAACGTTAAAAATGCTCTGACCACAACATCCGATATCTTCTCACCTGATACATCGTATGGTTCAGAAAATGTCGTCACACCGAACGTTGAAAGAACTATAGCTGAGGTTAATGAAGTTTTAAACGAAAAGGATGTTGATAGTAGAAGTGAAAATGAGTTGTTCCATTTTGAAAACGACAAAGATAGACAGCCGAGCCGCAGTAGCAGAAGCAAATCTCCCACCGGGTCAGTTGACTCGAACACTAATAAAGAACAAAGCACTTTACATACCCCATCTCCATCTTCCGAGTATTTCTCACCTGGGAATTCTAGATTCTTTACGCCTAACTTATCAAATCAATCAAACAATAAAGAGCCTAATAATCAAGTAGGTAAGGATGAAAATCGCGAATCGGAAGCATCAGTAAAAACATGTTTATCGCCTCCAATCGATGTTCCACAACGACCTATGTTCACAAGTTACTTGCACTTCGCAGAAGAAGATTCGAAATCGGAAGAAGTTGATTTGGAAAATTCACAAGCTGAAGAAAAAGTTGAAGATATATCAAATGCTGAAACACAAAACTTACAAGATGAAGATGATGGTAAAGTTTATGATGAATCAGTCTCTTGTAAAATATCAGATATGAGTTCTGAGAGTTTAATTTGGCTGGCGCATAGATTGGGGCCTGTGTTAACTTGTAGATATATTACAAGGAATTTGCTTAAAATGCTAACACTATGCTACATCGGCAAAGAGAACCTTTCACCTTGGGAGAGTGAACAGAAAGATGAATTCGACGAAATCTCAGTAGTAAATAGTAAAGTGGTGGGAGACAGGAATGCTATGAAAGTCATTCAGTGTCTTACATCAATTGTTGGTAAGTGATTAAATAAATAATTATTCGTTTTATAAAATAGTTGACACTGTCGAAAGAAGCGTCGAGATTAAAACATGTTTTTATGTAAATTTTTGCGGCAGTGCGAATTCACACGAATACATTATTGATTTTGTTGGCAAACGTCATAAAAATTCACATGACTAGTCTGTTTAACTAATCTAGCTAACTTGCCTTCTTAAAACTATACTAGTTGTCGCTCGTAACTCCGTTCGCGCGGAATTAAAAAACTTAATAAGTAGTCTATGCGTTCTTCAGACTATGTTTCACATCTGTGGCAAATTTAATCAAGATCTCTTGAGCCGTTCGAGAGTTACCTTCTAATAAACAATTCATCCATCAATCCATCCATCCATTCATCTATCTAAACTTTTGCATTTATTAGTAAGATGTTTCCCTTAGTTTATAAAGTTGGCAGCTTGATGTGTTGTGTTGCAGCGATGTACGGCGAGCAGCTGATAATGTTCCAGTACTTGCCGCACATGGGCGAGCTGATCGCCTCCTGCCGACGCCGGCTGTCCGCGCCGCTGGAGGGCGGCGTCGTCGCTTGTTTGCAGCTGCTCAAACACCTGCTGCCCTACATGTCTGATGTCAAGGTCATGGAACAGCTGCAGGTAGGACCAACAAACACTATCGAGGGTGTGAATTCATCTACTTCTCAGTCAACCTAGTGAAAAGGTTGTCAAACTTTTGACTACGGAACCCTTACGGACAGCGAAGTATTTGACGACAGTCTAGATTGTAAGTTTGATTATTCTAGGTCCTAGAATTTGTAAGTATTTTTTTAAATCCATCGTTCAGTTCACGTCCCATTTTTTTGTAGATATGTAATATTATTCTTTTTTATAAAAAATATTTTTTAAACTTTATTTTTACTTTATTATGTCAATTAACAGGATACATTCTTAAAATCGATCCTGCAACCATCTCTTCGGCTGGCATCCACCACACGTTGCGCGTACCCCAACGGTGCGACAGCGCGCGGCGCGCTCACCCGCAAGCTGGTTGACGCGCTGCACGCGCTGGCATTACGCGTCGGCCCCGAGATGAGCCGGCGGCATCTCTGCATGCCCGCCTTACAGAGGTAACCACACAAAGCTTATTAAATCTGTAGTTTTTTTTTATAAATTCTTTTTTTGCTTCTGCAATTACTATTTTGTTTACGAGTAATCGATTTCAGTTAAGTTCAGATAAACTTTAATAAAGTAGACAATTAAAGTTAATTTCATTCATTCGTTTCCAGATTCTTCTTAGCATTCGATAAAGCTACTGGAAAAGTTGATAACTGGCCCAAACAAGACGAAACCAATGGTGATAAGGTAAATTAAAAATTTATTTCTAAAGCTTCTTTCTTACTAGGCTCATACACCTGATATATATTGTCTTTCTCCTGTGTCGTGCAGAATGTGGAGCAGGAGAACCGTGAGGTCAAGGTGGAGGGTTTCCTGGAGATCTGTCGCGACGGCAGCACGGCGGAGTGGGCGGTGCGAGATGGCCGTGTCGTGCGCGCCGACCTGCCCGAGCTTGCCTGCTCACCACCTGACCTCACCAGCGACGAACACGACGCTAATGGCCTTACGGTATGAAGGAATAAGTTAATTAAATCTGTGATATGTGATGGCTGCGAAAAGGTTAATGGCCACCTAGCACACTTTAAAACAACGTTATACCTAACTGCAAAATGTTCTTATTAAAAGTTATTCAACTGACCTATAAAAATGGACGGGCTATAAACTGTTGTATTTTGTGCCTATTTGATCGCAGCGGTGATGATTCGAACTAATTATAGATATATATTTAATTGTCAAAAACTTCAACAACTTCAACTTGGAACAACGTAAATGCTGTCATTTCTAACCAGAGACCTATCTATTTATAGAGATCAGTGAGTTTATTGTACATAAGTTATATTTTCTTATGCAGGCTCAAGAGGAACTTCTGGTGGTGTTCAACGAGGAGCTGGCATACCGCGCTCACGGCACATTCGCGCGCTTCATAGGCACAGACAGCCTTGAGCGCGCACTCAAGAACGCGGACACCGTGCGGACATTATGCAACAACTATAAACAAATACACGCTATCAGGTCAGTAGTGACGTCATCAAATATTTAGCCTCAACATAAAAAATACACCTAATTTCTAAGCTAAATAAGTGCGTTATCTAAAAACTAGCTGTCGCCTGCGAATCTGTCCAAGCGGAATTAAAAAAAACTTAATTAGTAGCCTATGTGTTCTTCCAGACTATGTTCTATATGTATGCCAAATTTCATCAAGTTAAGTCTTTCTGGAGATGTCTTCAAACAAACATCCATCCATAGATCCATTCATCCATCCAAAAATTCGTATTCATAATATTAGTAAAATATATGGAAAACTGCACTGATTACAAATACCAATACTTAACTGAGTCGTATTTTTTTAATTTCAGTTCGCCCCTCCACATAAACCAGCAAGGAAAGCGCTTTCAATCATCATTCAGTGATGAGCCGATCAGTCGCAAAGCTCTTACACCCACAAGAAGTGATCTCTCCGACAATGGCAATAGCTTTGTAAATGGATCTGGTAACAACAGCTTCGGTTCCAATGTCACTCTCGTCGGCAACAGAATAGATGTCGCTGCTGATGAGGAAGGTGTCAACGGACAGGGATGCGGGTTCGATGCTGTTGCGTACAAGATGGCTAACGGCGTGAAGAGTGAAAGGTTTCCCGACACTTTTACAAACTTATAATAAACAGGGGACCATCATCATAGTCAAATTTTTACAGAGATATATGTTTTTACTAGCTATCGCCAGCGACTCCTTCTGCGCGGAATTAAAATAAAACGTCATAAGAACGTGTTCTTCCATCTATGTTCTACATCTATGCCAAATTTCAACGAGATCCATGCAGCTCTTCTGGAGATACCTTCCAACAAACATGCATCCATCCATACATACAAACATGCTTTAGACTTGTCATTTAGATTATTGTCAATTAATTTTGAACTTTATTACAATGCTATACAATTCATTTTCCTCAGGCATCTCCGGGGTGACTGGTTAATCTACTGGGAGCATGAAATCGGACGTCCAGACAAAGACGCCCGGTTTAACTTGAAGCAGATCAAACTGCAGACATTCCTCGGACACACGCACTCTGTCAAGTCTATACATTGTCTGGACAATGAGAACAGCTTCATGAGTGGATCTAAGGACAAGACTGTCAAACTATGGTCTTTGAGGAATCAGGTGAGACAATGAGATGGGGAATTAGTGAATTAAACAAGTGTGTACGTACTTGCGTTCGTGCGTGCGTGCGCGTCTGTGTACGTGTGTGCGGAGGAAAAAGAGTGAAAACTAAATATAAATATTTTTTCTGTCTGAAGAGTTGCCATTAGTTAAAAGATTGTCAGATTACCTTACTTAATATTATAAAGTTTATTTTATTTAGATGGATGGATGTAGGTTTGTTTGAAGGTATATCCATAAAATGAATCTCGATGAAATTTGGCATAGATGTAGAACATAGTCTAAAAGAACACAGGCTACTATACTAATTATATTTTTATTAATTCCGTGCGGACGGAGTCGCAGGCGACCGCTAGTATATTTATAAAATAAGTATACCCTATAGAAAATGCTTGTTTATGTATTTCTGTTTGTTTGTATAATTAATGTTTTGTTATCCTGTAGGGAGACGGCAATGCAACTACTCAATGCAACTGGACCTACACGGGGCACAAGAAGGGCGTGCTCTCTCTGACATTCTTGGAGTCGCTACGGCTGGCTGTGTCCACTGACTCTATTGTACACATCTGGGATCCCTTCATGGAGACTGTGGTATCACAGGTTCGAAACTCACTTGATATTTTTTTTTTCTTTTCTATATTTAATCTACACTAAGGGCTTTGAAACTATTGAGTAAAGTTTAGAGTTACCTTTAGCAGCTGATTAACTAATTATGAGTGTGGATTTTTTTAGCTGGATAACATAAAGTCTGCAGTGAGCATTGTACGTACTCTGCCCGGGCCGTCTACAGTAGTGGTGGCCGCTACTACTGACGCCACGCTGCGACTCATCGACGCCAGAGCACCTTATACATCATACGAACTGAAGGTATGGATAGATCTGTGCAATAAAAGTCTTCCATAACTTATTCTACTACATTTATTTTATATTAGTGGGAAATATAGTTTTTAAATGATTGAAAAATCTTGATTAACAGTGATTTTATAAATCGTTATTTCTTGAAATGAATATTGCCTTCATGTTTATATATTTATTGTATACTTTTACACATTGTTAGAATTCTCTGTCGCGAATGGCGTGTTTTTGTTAAGAAGTCAAGTGTTAGATTGATTAGTGAGGGGACATAAGCGTTGATATTTTAATAAGGCCAGTGTTGCGCCGATACATCGGCACAGTGTCGGATTTTCTTCCTAACTATACTAATTGTCGAAAAATCTGTACAAAACGTATTGTTACCTTCAGAGATGAATGTGTATCGGTAAACTCTTAGTAAAGCCTTGTTTACATTATGCGAGTATAGGAGGACAGTAACGTTGAAAATCATCACAAACTGGCGCCAGTTAACCAGGTACAAATGATATATATTTGTTTCCAGTTAGCGACGAGCGCGACTACGTTCATCCGGTGCATGTGTATCTGCGCGTCGGGCGCGTGGGTAGCTTGCGGGCTGGCGGGCGGGCACGTCGCCGTGCTCGACACGCGCAGCGGCCGCCCCCTCGCCGCATGGCGCGCGCACGATGCAGAGGTCAGTCTGCACACACGCATACACGCACGCACTCACGCACGCACGTATAACGTACCCATTCATACGTATCTACGTACGCACACGCACATAAGTATGCGCGTACGTGATTCTCATACGGGTAAGGACGTGGACAATGAGAGAGAGGGAAGGATAATATACTTGTGTATTGTTGTCCCTTTCGTTCTTAAAAAACACAACCGCATGTGAACAAACCTAAATATGTAGGCAAAATGTCTCGTGTCATTTACAATTTTTGTATAAAAATTAGTAATTTTTTCTTATGTTGTATTCATTTGTATTTTTTTTAATTTCCATGCAGGTTCTTCGCTTAGCCGCAGTGGATGATCATAGATTGTTGAGTTCGGGACTGGACCAAGTGACCGCGCTCTGGCGGGTCGATGATGGCGAGTTGATTGCGCATCTCAAGTGAGTACTTATTTAAATAAAATAACACGATCATTTAATTAACACGACAATTTCAACGACCAGGACTTTATCTTACAAAACGCAGTAAAAAATGTGTAGCTCTAATAAGTCTTGATAGTTGTATCTTAACGTCTTGTTCCTCCAACTATAGTAACAAACACACAAATGTTACCAGGGGCAGTACCGAACCTGTTCACTGCCTCTCTGTATACTACAACGAGTTAATATCGGGGACCACCAACAATCGCATCGGAGTCCACACTTCATTGGATCAAGACGCTTCGTTCTCCTCCACGAAACTGCGCTCTGACACATTCAAAGGAGTTCTGACGTGCATGTCGGTGTTGCCACTTAACAGACTTCTGCTGTTAGGTAGCGATAATGGAACTATTAGTTTACTTTGCTGATAATATTAAAAAAAATTGCATGCGGTTTTTTATATCTTTTAATTGTGCAAATGGGGTGAGCTGGTCTCGTTTTGTCATGGCAAGTTTTTTTTATGTAATCAGTGAAATGCATACAACAATATTGACGCAGACTTTTTAAAATATGTATTTTTTTATTTTTCTCAATTTTTTTAGTAATAGAAAAAATGCTAAATTCATTTTATGAAATTTATTTATTTAAACAAACCTCATTATAAATTTGAAGTAAGAATTTTTTTTTATATTTTCGTATTTTTTATATAAAATGTACTAGCTGTAAGTAATTTTGAGCCAATGCTTCTTATTTCTATTATTTTATGTTAAAATTTTATTAATAGAAATGTATATTTGATGTAATTATTATTTTTATTTATCTAATAACGAGTAATAAAAACCGTATTTATCCTAAAATATTGTAAATGTTGATAATTCCTAGTCTTTACAGAAGTGTACCACAAAAAGTAGATTGTGATATTATTTAAGTACATATAGAATTACGTTTTAGTTTTAATCAAAAAAATTAAGCAAAGGAATCCATTAGTTTTATAACTAAAAAATAAAAAATGAATAAAAAGACATAAAATTAAACGTTATTCCTTTTTTCTAGTTTAAGAAGATTTTGGCGGCAAATTGTATAAAGTTTGATATAAATATATTTTAGTTTTAAGCTAAGCAAGGCAAGAGGTATTTCTTTTTTCTATAGTTTTATGTAACCTTTTTAATGTATATAAAATGTTAAAAATAGAAAAAATTAAAAAAAAATTAACTTCGGATTTAAGTATCGTGACAATTATACTGCTGTCTCTATTTTTTGAACAGAAAGAAAGAGATGGCAATATGTCTCGTATTGCTGCTGTCGATAAGTGAGGGATTTATTTATTTAGTAATCGACGGTGTTTTTTAATTCTTTATTCCAAGTTATCATTCCATTTTCAAAACGTATCCACAAACGAAATTTAAGGAATTATTTTTAAATGTTACTGTCAACTGATTTTTAATTTTTTTTATTAAAGTACAAAATATTTGTTACCAGAGATATTTTTGGTTTAATATGATAATGGCCATAAATAAAAAATATAACCTTATAACCTGTTTGAAACATAAAGTGTGGAATGTAATATCTGTAAATATATTTTCTAAGTACAGTTTGCTGGCCGTTTAATTAACGGAATAATTCTGTAAATCGCCCTAGAGAGCGACAACTACGTATACATCTTATATATATATAAATCAATTGCTGTTCGTTAGTCTCGCTAAAACTCCAGATCGGCTGAACGGATTTATCTTATCTTGGTCTTGAAATGTTCGTGGAGATCTAAGGAAGGTTTAAAAGGTGAAAAAAAAATCGAATAATAGCCTGGAAAACCTTTTAAGATTGTTCTTTTTCCGCGCGGACGGAGTCGCGGGCGACAGCTAGTGTTATATAAAATTAATTATAGTATTCTATTTATAGTAGTAAGAAATATATTCATTGAGTTTATTAATAAGTACATTAAAAATAATAGTAAGTTTTAAATTAAACTAATTTATCTTGCCGTGTTCTCGAAAATAATTTCTCACCGTGAGTTTCTGAGATCAAAATCTCCGTTTCAAATATACTGTTGTCTCTGTTTTGTCAAAAATAATGACAGGGATGAAGATATGTTTTATACCGAGATTTTGGTGTCGGAAACCCACGGTCAGTGTCTTAATTAGAGTGCTATTAAAATGACTTGGTTGTTGTGTAGTATATAGAAATATGGAAAAATGTTTTATCAAAACGGAAAATATTTTATTGGACTTTGTAACTTTGTTTTCGTTATTAAATTAAGAAGTAAGATATAATTAGGAAATATTAGGAAAGTTTCAAAATACGCAGAGACAGTAGATAGAATATAAAAGATTATTGTAAAAAATATTACAAACTAAAAATAAAATTGTAAATCATCAATGCAGTCTAAAGTATTTTTTGTATTAAAAATATATTAGTATGTCCGTTTTGTTTCATTGTTTTTTTTTTAATTTACACTATTTGGTTATCAAGTTAAATCAATAGTTTTTAGACCATGGCTCCTAGAACTTTACCATTGGTGGTTTTTTATATTACTGTAGCGTCTAATGCAGTGTAATAGTTAACGAAAATGAAGATGAACATTTCGGGATTTCACTGGAGCGGAATGGAACGCTTTTAACAAGTATGTTTACGCCTGGTCTTCAAAGTGATTTACATAAATCTTGTGTCGTATGTTTATTATAGAAACTTTTAAGTTTAAAAAGCAAAATGATATTGACAGCTTTCAAAAAGAAGAATGTCAATATTGCTGTAATCATTTCTTGATAACAATTGTTGTGCAATAAAGAAACTATGCCCCACAAGGAGCATCGTCGCTCCAGCAGCTCGCTGGTCGGTTTACGACGGACGAGCACCCAACACAGCTCCGACGTGTCCGAACTTAACTTGCTGAAAGAGGAGACGCACACCGGCGACCATTTTCTGTCACCAGCGCAGCTCGAGGTCGTGTACCGTACCAACATCACCAATGGCCTCACTGAGAGCCTCGCCGCTGAGCTTCTCGAGCACAACGGGCCCAACGAGCTCAAAGAACTACGCGGTACTAGCTACGGAAAAATATTCCGACGCAACCTCTTCGGCTGGTTCCAGTGTGTGCTCTGGTGTGGCGCCATACTTAACTTTATAGGCTATTTCTTCTCCGACGTGGTGGACGCCGGAAACGAGGGCGGTCACACCGGCAAGGAGTACCTGTACCTAGGATGCGTCATAACAGCTACCATTCTTAGTACCGGTATCTTTGGTTTCTATCAGGAAGCTAAAAACATTGCAGTTATGAGCGGCTTCGAGAAAATGGTCCCATTGGACGCGATTGTGATTCGAGATGGATTAAAGAAAAAAATACCAATAAATCGTATCGTAGTAGGTGATATACTAGAGCTGAAGAGCGGAGAAATTGTCCCGGCCGACATCAGAGTACTGGAATCCAATAATTTTAAAACGGACATGTCTTCTTTAACCGGTGAGTCAAAGCCAGTAAAGCACACTCCGAAATGTACGAATAAAAACCCACTGGAATCCAAAAACATGGCCTACTTTGGGTGCCCTATCGTGGAGGGCACGGCGAAGGCGGTGGTTGTGGCCACAGGGGAAATGACGCAAATCGGCAAGATCGCCGGACTCGTCACTGGCCTCGAGAAGGATGAGACGCCCATTGCCAAGGAAATAACCCATTTCATAAAACTCGTTTGCGGCGTAGCCTTTACATTTGGATTTATATTTTTTGTAATGGTTTATATCGTTCAGAACAGTTGGCTGGCGGCCTTACAATATATGCTTGGTATTATCTTAGCGAATGTACCTGAAGGATTAATAGTTACATTAACCGTGTGCATGACGCTGTCGGCTAAGCAACTGAAAAAGAAAAATTGTCTCGCGAAAACTTTGCAAGCTGTCGAGACTTTGGGGTCGACGTCCTGCATATGCTCGGATAAAACGGGTACGTTAACCGAAAATCGAATGAGCGTTACGCATCTCTTTTGTAATTTCGCCATTTATGACAAAGACGATCACACGCACGTATCTGAATCGACGTATGCGGAGCTGTGCCTGGCAGCGTCGCTTAATTTGAAAGCGGAATTTGCGCACGACAGCTTGAAACACCCAGTGAAGCAAAGGAAAATTATTGGCGATGCATCGGAATCGGCGATACTGAGATACATGGAAATCAATCGGTCCGCGACGCAAACTAGGGAAATGAATCCGAAAGAAGCTGAGATACCTTTCAGTTCGGCTTACAAATATCAGGTCACCATCCACCGAATGCAAACCACTCAAAGTTATTACCTGATTATGAAAGGAGCTCCCGAGATAGTTCTCGAACATTGCGTTAACGTGTTAACCGACGACGGGATCATTCCGATCACGCCAGAAATAAAGAAGGAACTAAAAGCTTACTTTATTAGAATGGCGAACATGGGCGAGCGTGTGATAGGCTACTGCGATTACAAGCTACCGTTAGAAACTTATCCCCTGGGATATTCATTCAATGCTCAGAAACGTAATTTTCCTATCGACGACTTAAATTTTATCGGGGCTATATCTATGATAGATCCTCCTCGAAAAAATATCGACAAGTCTATAGCTCTGTGCAAACAGGCAGGTATTAGAGTCTTGATGGTGACCGGAGACCATCCCGTCACTGCGCTGTCGATATCTCGCCAGTGTGGGACAATAACGCAACCCACGGCATACGATTATGCTTTCGAGCATCATATAGATTTAGCCGATGTTCCTATACATATAAGAAACCAATTCAAAGCTGTCATCATCACCGGTGACGAGCTCAGAACGATGAGTGTCAATGATTTGAAGACGGCGGCGAACAAATATGAGGAGATAACATTCGCCCGCACCAGTCCGCAACAAAAACTTTTTATTGTTGAAACGCTGCAGTCGTTGAAGCATGTGGTCGCAGTAACTGGAGACGGTGTCAACGATTCCCCCGCCTTGAAGAAAGCCGACATTGGCATCGCTATGGGTATAACCGGCACCGAGGTGTCCAAGCAGGCCGCTGATATGATTCTCTTAGATGACAATTTCGCTTCCATCGTGCTAGGTATAGAGGAAGGTAGACGCATATTCGATAACCTCAAGAAAACTATAGCCTACACTCTAACTTCTAACACGCCTGAGATGTTACCTTTCGTTCTGTATGCACTTTTGGGCATGCCCCTGCCTATTACTTTGATTTTAATTTTAGTTATCAACGTGGGCACGGACCTGTTGCCGGCGATGAGTCTGGCGTACGAGACGTCGGAGGAGGATATAATGTCGATACCTCCGCGGAAGCCGACGGATCGTCTTGTTAATAAAGTGTTGATTTACATGGCATATTTTCAAGTCGGTTTGATCCAGTTCTTTGCTGGAATGTACGCGTACTTTACGGTCTTCGCGTCCAGCGGGTTCTTTCCTTCAACGTTGATGTTTGTGCGCAAAGAGTGGGAGACACCTTCGCATACGTTCCTCGACACTCTGGGCCGTCCGTGGTATTACCATGACAGGAAGCGCGTCGAGAAGCAAGCGCAGACCGCGTACTTTGTCGCAGTTTGCTGGACCCAGATATCAGACGTCATTATTTGTAAAACGAGACGCATCTCATTAATCAAAAAGGGTATGCGCAATCATGTCTTGAACATTAGTATTATTGTTAATTTATTTGCTGCACTTTTGGTGACTTATTTTCCTTTATGTCATGAAGTTTTCAATACGGAAGCGCTTTTGTGGTATCATTTTTTCTTGGCGTTACCGTTCATGGTGCTTATGATAGTAGGCGATGAACTAAGGCGTTATATCATCCGGAACAATATCTCTAAATGGGTTGAGGAAGAAACCTACTACTAACTCTTAAAAAAATATATTGACGAATTATGTTTTGTGTAGTTTGAAAATTATGTTTTTTTTTCCTTTTGTAAGCATAAAAGTAAAAATAAATAGTAATTTTATTTAGTATTATATATGTTAGTATTATAACATTGTAAACGTATTTAATAAATAGAGTAAAATATCACTGAAATTTTATTTCATAAAAATTTATTCACTAATTTGTATACAAAGAATAACATAAAAAAACAATTGCCAATTAATCACTAACAAATGACAAATTATAAGAGTCCAGTTTCTGTTTTGACAAATCTTTATCAAACATTAAATCTATATTTTTTTTATTCAAGTATCTGACAGTTGACTTTGTTCCACATACTTCTGTTTATTAAATTGTTCGCGAACAACTATTTAATACAAGGTTGCAATAAGAAGTTCATATGTTACGTTACTTAAAATTGTTATCTAAACCTATTTTATACTAATGTCAAAATCAATGCTAAAATAACTGATCTGTAATATTTTTTACTATCTTTTTCTTCTTCTTCTTTTAGTTACTAGTGGACCCCATCTTTTAATTTCGATAATTTCGCCAACGTCAAGGTTGAAGGTAATTGAAAACGAAAAAAGAAAGAAAAGATTAAATAGCAAAGAACAGAGAGGTAGACGGAGTATAGATCTGTTTGACAAATGATCGGTTGATGAATTTTTTACTATAATAATTACATTCTGAACCGTCCTTTGTTTGTTAAGAGCCTTTAAGTCTTTATAGAAAAGAAATCGAAAAATGCTTATATCGTCAGGATTCAAATAGGACAAATATATGACATAATCTTCGACAAAGCGAAACATCCTTTATGGATTATATTCTTAATAATTTGTTGTTCCAATCTTACAATTGGAAACTTGAATTAATTTCAAGAAATCATCTCATTAGCTATACTGTGAAATTAATAATGCCTTGTCATCTTTTTAAATAACATCTTTCCAAAGCGATCTCAGTTTTGCTTATTGAGAAAATATGCGGTCAGTTTCAAATTGCAGTATAGATAAACTAGTGTTTGCGACATAAGGCACTGGGCAGCCCACATACTGCAACTTATATCGTACTCTGACGTTTTGGAATTATTTCTGTCCAACTGCTAACTAGTCTAGTCATGAATAATTCCGTAATAGAATTCTGTATGATTTACAGTTGAACTGGATCGTATTTTAAATTGACTTTTTTTATTAATGTTCCTAATGAATGAACATAAGTTAATTTAAAGTGTCTGGAAGATTTTTTTAGAACAAACGACCCATCGCAATTTTCATTTGTAGAAATTTTTAGGAACATTTTCACAGAAGTTTAACTTTCGATGTCTTATTAAAAGTAAATTAAATAAGCGTACATAACATTTAACATATATCTGTTATCGTTAGTTTCTGCGACTATAATCCCTGCTTAAAACATATCGTCATCCCTCTCATTATCTTTGACAAAACAGCATTAACAATATTTTTATATTTTTAGTCTCAGAAACCATCGATTAATCCTTCGTGGTTACAAATCTGAATATTTAATTGTGAAAGACCTAATTAAGTAATCCAAAGCTGGTGTGAACTTAAAGCTTGCATCGAGATTAAGGCACGCGGCACATGAATGGGGCGCGGCCATTCTGTATGAATTTAAATCAGACCTCACATGCTTGTCGGTGCCTTACCGTACCGCATGTGTGGTGTGACCTACATCACATAACTTGATCTAATACTAAACTACACTTATGATAACTTTCGCACGAGGGCGGAACAGTAGGACAGATCGATATAATCTGACTCAGTGAGTACAAGTGAAACTAAAATACAATAACTCACTAGCGCCACTATGATGACAAAAATGTGTTACCAGAACCTTATCTGACTGAAGTCGTCTGGTCATGTCTTGTGTGCATTTAAACAATAGCAGTGCCACACTGACTAATATTCTCTCTAACTCGGTAACCCGGAGGCCTAATCTTACTAATATAAATTTTCTTATAAGGAAAGGTTAGTAAGTGGATTTGCCGAAAGAGGTTATACATAGGAAGAATAAACATTCTCTTTCTATGCGTCCACTCTTCTGGCGATTAAAGGTAGGCAACCCATCTGCAATTGCGAGTGTCTATAGGCATCGGTCGTTTTGCTATTTCGGCGATTCGGGTGCTCGCTCGTTTGTCACCTGATAATATAGAAAATTTTGCATTCGTGTGAAACTAGCATTAGAGCTGTGACTTTCTAGGCTATAAATTCGAGTAGGTTATATTCATGTTCTTAGACATACTCAATGTTAGATAAGAAAGTATGTTTCTTTACTATATTTTCTTAGCCTTTAAGGAAACTTAATATCTATTTGGGTATTTAAAGCTCTTTCTGAAGAAATTCTAATACAGAGATTATTTTAAATTCATTAATAAAAAGTAATATTGGCTAATTCACGCAAATTAAAAGAAACCATAGAGATTAGAGTAATTAAAGATAAGGTATTTTTGATCAAAATGAAAAATCCACTAAATGAAACAAAATATAACAATAAACAATTTATTTAAATCTAAAAGTTTAGAGCTAATTTAAAGTATAAATGAATAAATGTTTATTCATGAATAAGGGACATAAATCAATATTTTCTCTAAGTGACAGAATTCGTTTACCTTTTCTATAAAAGATACAGCGTGAAGGCTAAATCATAAAAAGTAGGCGCATTAAAAATGTAACGAAACATATTACTCGTTTATTTGAAAAGTACAAATATGTATGAATTTTGTTAAATGTTCAGCTGACGCAATATAGATTAACTGTTACATTACAGGTTAGAAATATACATGAGAGGTTAGAAGTTTTTTTTTTACATGTAAAAGGCACTAGATTTTATGTTAATCTGCATTGTCTTTATGAAAGTTTAAATATTCGTAATCGATTTTAATCGATTAGTGGTCAATAAATATTAATTCAAAATAAATGCAATAATTTAATGTAAAGTAATTTTTTATTCTTAATAACTTGTAAATATATGATTGAATACCCATTTTGAGGTTAATATGACATAAATTTCTGTTAAATTAATGAAATGTATGTATTTATTTATAAATATTTAATTACTGTTTAGGATGTGATCAGTATTACAGTGAATCATCACATATATATTTACATATTGTTTAAAATGATTAATTTTATATCATAACTAGCAGTGGCCTGCAATTCCATCCGTACGGAATTAAAAAAGACTTAATTAGAAGCCAGATACCGCTGGCGAGATATCGTAGAGCTGGACATGTGGACAAAAGATGGATTGGAAGGAGAAGGCGCAAGACAGGCAACTTTAGCGAACTCTTATGTCTTATGTAAATAATTAGTAGGCTTTGTGTTCTTCCAGACTATGTTCTACATCTATACTAAATTTCAGTAAGATCCATGCAGTTCTGGAGATACCTTAAACAAATATCCATCTGATCTTTGATCTGATATCATTTAAAACTGCATTTAACTTTAATTACATTAAAATGTTACTAACTTTTAGAATAATTTTAAAAATTCGCTCTCATTTTCCACGTAAACCAGAAACGACCATAATGGGTTGTCGCTAGCCGCATTACTAGCGGACATAAAATCTACTAGTGTTTGTATTTTTTCGACCAGTTCACGCCTTTTCTGTTTGAATAAAAACTTTTGGTATCTCCTTCGTCAATTAATTTACCTAAGAAATATGACTATTGAGCTAATTTTGTTCTATATTTTATTATTTAAAGTCCTTTGATGTGATATGTCGGTAAAATGTAAAAAAAATATTAACTAAGACAAAATGTCTACAAAAAATTGATTCCCACCCAATATCATTAACTATTTTTCGTTGGACGAACATGTTTCATTATTTTCCTTACATTTTTTCCAGAATCCCATATTATTTCAGCGTAATAATTTAAGAAATTAAATTAATAAGACGTTTAAGATTAAACTTTAGACACAGCTGCAGCAAATTAGTCAATAGAAGCTAATTCAACATTTGACAAGCTCGAAAATAGAGCAACGGATATTGAATTGTGCTCGATCTGTTGGCGCCGTTTTGTGATCTGAATTCTAAAATAAAATAAACTTGGCGGTACCATAAGTCGAGCACGAGTATCCTTGATTGCGAAAATTGTACCGAGTGTTTAGGGCTGGGTTCCAATCGCCTGGCCTTATATACGCTCCTGCGCAGAGATCGCGGCACACGTGCTACACACGGCAGGACAGACGCACGACACAGTCATGTACGCTAAGGTACGAATTATTACGTATTAACCCTTAAAATATTAATTCTACACTAACGGCTTATGAGTCAATCTTGACAGAACAAGATAAGTTAAATCTCTGATGTAATTAGAGATATTTTTAACTAAACATGTGAAATACATATGGAATATTTCTAATTCGTAACTTTGAACTATCATGACGAATATGACTTCAATACTGGAGTGAAGGTTTAGAATTTGACAAACATGCTCCCATTGAGTTAAATAAATGAAAGAGAAGCTTAATAACAATAACGGAAGCCCCACTTTCCCTTGAAACATCACTATTATAGTGTACTGACTTAGCATTTATAGATGAAGTGTTTTCAGTTGTTAATGTTGTGCTGCGCGTGGGCCGCGGTGTCTGCGGCGCCGGGGCTGCTCGACATCGGGCTGTCGCACGGGTACGCCGCGCCCGCACTCGCCGCGCCTGCATATACCACCCACACTATCGCCGCTCCTGCCATCACCACTCACGCCATCGCCGCCCCGGCCATCGCCACTCACGCCATTGCCGCCCCTGTTAGTACACAGCTTTCAAGCTTAGAAAGTCCTAAAAAGAAAACGTAATTTTTGAAGTTGTATAAGATTAACCGCATTCCCTTCACTTGCTATCGCGTTATAAGTTTCTGAGTATATGCATCCAGAGATGCCTTTTCAATGTGATTTAATCACCAATATAATAAAGTAAAAATAGAACTACAATATTGGATTATAAATTCTGTGTGTAATTTTATAGGTAGTCCGTGCCGAGCCCATTGACCCTAACCCAGCGTACAGCTTCTCTTACGGAGTATCAGACCCCCACACCGGCGACCAAAAGGAGGCGCACGAGACACTGCAGAACGGAGTCATCCACGGTTCCTACAGTCTCGTCGAGCCCGACGGCCACGTGCGCAAGGTCACCTACACCGCTGACAAGGTCAATGGGTTCAACGCCGTCGTACAGAGGACTGGTGGCACTCACGCGGTAAGATATTAAGATCAAAGCAAATCGGATCACATGTTCTTGCAGCTTCTAGAGTTTTATTTGTGGAATAAAAGATAGCGTCTTTATATGGAAGGTCTTTTAAAAAGTAGTATTTGCTATTTATAACTTATTTACTGTAACTTAAAAGTTGAAATTGATTGAACATTGTTCTGCAGGCTCCCGTCGCCGTAGCAGCACCCATTGCGAAGGTAGCACTAGCACCCGCACCTGTCGCCGTCGCCGCACCCGTAGCCAAGCTCACCCTGCCGGCGTTCGGCCACCCCTGGTAGATGCATCGATGAAATACTGCTGTGTTGCTGATCGGCTACAGGACAGGCCGCCCCTAAAGCAAGTGGCAAAGAGAATATGGTGGGATGCTTCACCAATGCTCTCGGACGAAATACTCTTCCCTTCCAAAGATGGTGGAATACAGATGGAATATTAAAGATGGCAGTTGGTTTTTAAAGGTTATTTAGTTGGGTTTAAGTTTGATGCATGGAATATGGCCACGAGGGATCGGAAGAGTGAAGATAAAATAGCTTAACATAGTCTCTTGTAGCAAGAAGTTGTTAAGGCTCCATAAAGGATGTTTGCTGGGGTTGTAAGTATTAGATTTTTGGGTTGTTACGAAGGTTTTTTTACATCCGCTCGGCAACACAGCAGTAGCAATGACCTCGCAGTGTAACGTGGAAATGTAACTAATTGTTTTATTTATATTTATTTCGTACTACTTTGACTGTTGCTACGGATTTGATCTTGACGCGTTGTATTACTGTAATGTAAATATTATGTACTAGTTTTTAAATAAATGCAACTTATTGCGGTCATGGGTATTTTCATTATCATTTACTTCGATATTACCTCAATGTAGAACATAATTAAAGTCTACAAATATCAGCCAATTTCCCAAAAAAGTTATATAAAATTGTAAGTACTTATCACAACTCTATAACCGAAACTTTAAAACCTAAGTAGTAATAATGACAGACTATTTCTTAGTCAGTCTATTAGTGAAATATTTACTGCGAAACTTTTTTAGACCAATTACATATATCCGTACATCTTATAAAGTCATTTAATCCGGTCCCACTGGACAACTATTAGGAAACTATATAAGAACGTCTGGACTGTCGTACAACTTAATATAGTAGCATGTTTAATGCGATTGGGTAAAGTTGCATGTGTTCTATTTTTTTATCACCTTTGTAATAAATACTAGTTTGTATATAAAAACAGGTGTCCATTGCTGCGACCAAATGTGTAAAATTTGCAAGGATAATGTTATTAGATGCATTAATGTCCTAGATACGGGATTGTACAACTTTTTATTATAGACTGAATAGTTTTAGCCTATCTAAACGTATTAAAATTATTTTAATCTAGAGCTTCGAGAGTAGTTAATTTCATTTGCATAATTTCACTAGGTGAACTAACGTCCATAAAAGTTGCACAATTACAGCAAAATATGTGAAAAAAGTAATGTTGTATATTTAACATATGACTGGAATAAGGAATCAAAAAGAAAACAAATTTTATTTGAAACATTTTATTTCTATACATAGTTTTTTGGAGTAAATTCCTATTTTTTTCTTGAAATCTATGTATATATAAATGTTGTCTCCCTTAGAGACCAAATAACGACTCTGACCTAAAACTACTTATAAACTTACTAATGCGCAGTTTACATGATTCCAGTTTACAGTCAAAACGTGCGCTGGATTGGACGATGTACTGGAATAATGTAAACTCGGCATAATAGCTCGTGTATACTTCCTACCAGCTTCATTAAATTCAGACCGGAATTCTGTTCTGGTGCGCCCACTTGGTGATGGTGCGCGCGATGTGGTCAGCGGCGGGGCGCGCTGGGTTCCGCGCTGGAGGGCCGCGCCAGCGCCTCCCGCAGCTCGCCCGCTCCCGCCTTGCCTGCTGCAGCAGACTGCGCCACACCGCACACCGCCCCGCGCAATCCCTCCCACATTTCGGGACCACCGTCCAGTCTAAAAGAAACACATCGGTACGTTCTTATCGAAATTCATGTAGTTTGAATTTGTCAAAACCCATTTAAAGTGGACTCAAAGCCCAGTATATATCCCGCATAGAACATGTTTCGATGAAGAGTTTTATAATAAATTAACATACCGATCGAGCGTGTGAAAACATTTCGCAGCTACAAGGAACTGTCCCATTCGGTAGCTGTCGTTAGCTACGAGTTGCAACAGAGCGAAGCCATCCGGAGTGCCTGATGCCTACACCACAGTATAAAAAACACATATAAAGGAAATAATTATTTATGAAACTATAACTAAAGATTCCATACTTCTGGCTACTTATAATTAGTTCTCCATTTAAACTCTTTACCTTGGAACAAATATCCCAAGCGAGATCCGCCTCTTTGTTCATAACGTGACATCGACATAAGAAAGACAGGTAGGTGAAAGAGCTTCGTATTTCTTCATCATGGATAGCCAATAGACATTCCTGAGCTTCACGATAGAAACCGGTTGCAGCTTTAGCCTAAAACAATTCACTTCTGAAGCACTAGGAAGAATATTGCTAACATTACAAGTGGCTTTCTAGATATGAATAATGAATCCAAAACTTGTATCTTACCTGAGCATAATTAAAATTAAAAGTATCATCGTTGACAAAGAAGCTCTTGATGGAGTTGAGATAGACGAGGACCTCCTCGAACTGTCCGGCGAGGAAGTAGGAGGAGGCCATGCACTGCCTGCCGGGGATGGTGTCGCACTCCGACGCCGAGCTGCCCACCAGATGGAAGTTGTGCTGCGCCAACTTCATCTGCTCCTCCTGAGACATACAGGGTAGGGAAATCATTTACGCGATCTTTGAAGGATAAATCTGAAACCACAAAACTGTTTAAATATAAAAGTTAATTTCAATTATCACTTGGTATTACCAACCAAAACCACCAAACCACCAAAGTTATGAAATTTCGTCGCGGTGTTTAGGAAATACTATTTGTCTAAAGTACATTGGCTTAAGAAGACTAACGTAATCTATGCGTTATGCATCTATAATTCTCTATAGCTGTACTTACATCCCCAGTATCATTGTAGAGCCTGACAGCGACGACAGCTCGTAGTATGTAGTGCAGTGGCGAGCTGGCCTCCACCGGCTGCAGCAGGTCACGAGCCTCCAGCGCCTCGCCGCGCCGCAGCCGCACACACGCCAGGTTCAGCCGAGCTTCCGGCACCACGTCCACCAGCTCAGGAAGCACCTAAATTTGCAGTGGATCAAGGAAAGGAATCCATGGTAGGTAGTAAGAACTTTCTCGAAGTCTTAAAGCTTGTCATTCGATTTCATGTTATAAGGAAAGGTGGTACAATCCTACATAATCCAGTCTCTCTTCTAGATGGCCATTTTTATAAGATTTTGACCAATATGAAAATGTCACAATATCATCCAATAAACTCGTAAAAGTTGCAATTGGATAAACAATATTTGGCAGAACGCATCGATTGTGTTACGTGCTATTAGTGTTGTACCAAAAATGCTAACCTTCAGAGCGCCTTCCCCATTGCGAAAAACAATGAGATTGTGTCTCACAAGGTCCTGTCCGAAAGTGTGCTGCTCTGAAGATATCTGCTTCAATTCGTTCTCTGCCGCTTTACCATTATACAACCTTATAACAGAAAAAACATAAGTTAACTATTACGAATGCATTTTTGTCACATTTACGGCCATAAACTATTTTTGTCTTTTGCTTCTTTCCTTCTTATATCTACACAAAGGTAAATAATATTCGAACCTTTAATATTGTTGTCAAAGCTAGCAAGTGTTCACAACAGTATGTTTTATTCTATTTAGGGTTAACGAACAGTACTTGACACCTCGGACCCATTTCATACTTCCGATTCGTTTTAGGAGCTGACCTGAACAAGTTGCACGCTTTTAGGTTGCCAGCAATGGTAGAGGTGGGATGCTGGGCGAGGTATACACCCAGCACTTCTTGCGACACGTCGTAGTAGTCCAGCTTGTAGTAGCAAAGCGCCACGTATACGTTCAGTGCTAGGTAAGTGCTGGAAGTAATACTATGTTATTTACTGAGTTTGTCGAAAATATGATTTCGAATCGAACGAATGAACATGACAATGTTAAAGCCAAATAGAACCGATAGGCGACCACTAATTAAAGTAATTCTATATACTTCTTTCAAAATAATCGAAACAATATTTTGATTATTTCTACTCTAACTAGTCTAAGTAATAGAATAAACTATGACTAAAAATGTTAGGTAACATTAGAATCACTAGAATTAGAATACTGAACAATATAAGATGTACCAGTTTGTATGAGTTAATACTTTAATCCACTCAATTGCATCAGTCTGGTATCTTTTATATCTGAAATATTATTCAAAATGTATCAAATATGCGTATAAGACAAGTCAAATTAAAAAAAAAAAACCTCTGTGCCTTTTATTAAAAAAAATCAAATTTTTAGACAGAACCTGGAGATGGTTTAATTTACTTTGAAATGTCAATCACCGTCTATCGAGTAATAACTTCTTGTAGACATCAATGGCCTCCTGGTAATGAGCGCGTAAGTAGTGCACAGCAGCCAGGCTGAGCCGGTCCTCGGGCACATCTCGCAGCGCCGCGTGCGCTGCCATCATACCCTCTTCGTCGCCCAGCTTGTGTGCCAAGTGCAACTGTAGACGGTTCTATGGAGTACGTTAAATTAATTGAAAGCACAGTGGGTCTTGCGGTGTGCTAATTCATTTCTAAGACTTGTTGCTCGCTCAATAGACGTCCAATAGATGTCGTGGTCTAATGTCTAGAAGTAGCGTTGTTGTAGTCTTATAACTATACGATATGTACAAACCTTTAGTGCACAGTCCGGCGCATCTTCCAGTGCGACTTGCGACTCTTTGTACATACCTGAATAGAAAAGATCTCTGTTTAAAATCTTTGCAAATAAGAAATTCTAAAACCAAAGTTCTCGATTTTCTAAACGTAGTCATATACTTAGTTACATTGAGTTTGTACCACATTTGCCTCTATTTAAATTACGCGACGTTTTTAAATTAAAGTTTTAAAGTTTACAAAAGCGTGTGCGTCTTGTGTGATGATTTCATTTTAGTATTATAAATGTGCCTTTGAAATTATTTTACCTAAGTAGAAATAGCAAACGGCGAGATCAATGGGTAAGTTGTCAGCGATACGTGTGTCGAGATTATCCCGGTCTTGCAGCTGTAGATACAGGTCCAGTGCACGCCGGTAGTCGCCCAAGTGGAACCAGCACCACGCAGTCCACACCTCGAGCCATACGTCCTCTCTGCCTTCGTGTTTGTGGAACTAACAAAATAGTAAATAAGTGACTCGGTTATTTCTACAAAGCCTGTTGTCAGTTTTTGATTCCTAATTTTGAATTTTAACCGACAAAATATTGTATTGTAATGTTTTACTGTGGGTACAATATTTCATACAATGGATTAACTTTCCAAAAATATTTATTACTTCAAGCAAAGTGATGGCACCAACATAATCCCTTTTCAATATGAAATCTTCAAACTCTGGGAAATTCTTCTTGGCTGAATGGCTGCCGGTGCGATTCTCTGTGGCTGGTTTTGATCGAGAAAGGATCTAAAAGATATTATATAGAAATAAATTTAAGAATATAACTATTAATTACATATTTTATACGTTTCAGCTATTTTTAATAAGCAACTTAGAATTAAACTACCAGTTTTTACATACCATTTTACATAATATTCAGTATCAGTTTATGTTTAAAAATCATACATAATATGGAAAAATATTCAATACGTAGCCATGACAACCTTTCATGCAACAAACTACCAAACACAATTACGTGTTGGAACATAATCAGAAAATGGGTGCAGAAAATCTGAGGTATAAATTCAGAGGCTCATAATTTAAAACCTAGTTGTCATATTGTGCAATATTCTATTCTATAGTTATAATTTGGTTATAATTATAAAAATTATCGTTTATGAATCTTACATATTTGTTTGTGATTATGAACGTTGTGTAAGTGTCAAAGTCAAACGACGTATTTGTGACGTATTTGTATTTGTTGATTTGAGTTTTTGTTAGTTATTCGCTCGTATTTAATTAATATTTTCATTGTAGAACATGTAATATATTTAGTTGCATTATACAATAGTATAAATTTTTGACCAGAAATATGGACGACTGTAGGATATGTTTGAAGTGCATGGGCGATAAGGATATATTCCAATTAGAAGCCGAAAAAGTAAACGAATCTAAGAATTTCTTGGAACTACTGGTTTTTTGTTTAGATATTGTTGTAAGTAGATCATTTCAGTAATTTTTTATAGCAATATCATTTTTAATAATTTTTCTATTCCATTTTAGGTGTCACCAAACTTTATATACGGTAGAAAAATATGTTCAGATTGCTACATAAAAATAATTGAATTTAACAAATTTAAAACACTTGCTTTAAAAAATAATACGTATTTGCTTAATTTACAATTAAACGGCAATATAGCAAACGATGTATTACTCAAAGATAGAATCAAATGTGAAAATAATTTTGATGAAATTAGTAATAACAATGAAAATGATGTTAAAAATTCCGAATGTTTCTCGTCCGATGACGAATTCCTCAGTGCTATCAAGCAGATTAAGTGTGAAAATAATTTAGAAGAAACCAAAGAAAATGGTATGTAGTTAATCCTACATTAAATATAACATTTCACTACTAGAAATATTTTTGAATACAAATATTATAACAAACAATCTAAAAACTTAGGAAAACTAATTAATTTGATAACATTGTTTCGCTTTTTTCATATTAAGTGTGTAATATTTTCAGACCATGTTGCAGAGGAAGTATTCAAAAAGAAAAAAAAGGAAAATTTAAAAGTTTATAAAAAAAGGAATCAAATCTGCGAACAGTGTGGAAAGACAGTTGTAAATTTGGAAAAGCATAGTAGGCTTCATAAATCTGTTGATGAAAGGAAATGCTTTAAATGTGAAGAGTGTGATAAGTCATTTTCTAGCCTAAGTGCAAGATACAGGCATTATAGAACCAAACATCTTGGTATAAAATCACATTGTGATATTTGTGATAAAGGTAAGAAAAATATTCATCTTGTCACAATTCCAAGAGTCCCATGGATAATGAATATGTAATTATTAATAGTTATGTTAACCCGCACTTGGCCAGCGTGGTTAACTATGGCCTAGTCACCCCTAACTTAGGGTAGGCTCCGAGCCCCTCGGTGGGGACATATAGTGTGCACATGAATGTGTGTGATGATGAATAGTTGTTTTTGATAATGCTAATAATTTTTGTATCCCAACGAGATCAAAAATAATATATTGTTATAGAGGGAGGTATTAACAGCATTCTAGTTTGCCTACATTTAATCAACAGAGAATGTTCTCCCTTGCATGCATCCTCTCATCCAGAAAATACACTTCCACTCTCTAATAAAAAGGGTTTGAAGGGAAAGATGACTAAAATTAGGCCTCTGGGACATACACTCATCAGACAAAATGCGGAATTGTTTTCACTTATCACCTGTCTTCTGTGTAGTTATGGTATTACACGGAATGAACCAGCCAGTTTGTGTGAAGATTTTAAAATGGGTTCTACCACTGTTAAACCTGTGAAAAAGTGTAGTTCACAAGTGCAGCTGTTCCTAATTAATTTATAAATGTCTCGTGACAGTTTAAAACAATTTAATATTTATAAGTTGTATCTCTTAGATGTTGTGGACCTAAGATCACATACATTGATGATGCATAATGCTGAAGACATGCAATACGTCTGTATACCCTGCGGCAAACGTTTCATCAGCCAGTCAGTGTTAGATCTGCACTCTACGATACATACAAAACAACTTGCCTACGCATGTGATATCTGCGACAAGAAGTTCCGTTGTAAGATTACCATGATGTCACATAAGTATGATTATATGTTTATTAACTGTCTATTATTATGTACATATATGTATATAAACATATATATTTTTTTAAATGAAAGGGATAGCAATACAGCAACCTGGAGAAATGAGAAACCTCTATAAGCAATTTTTTTATTTTAAATATTTTTTTTTTAACTTTTATGGCCATTTTGCCAGTTTGATTCCACTGTTGTTAACAAGTTTTTGGCCAATAAATATTGTATTATAAAATAAAAAAGCAAGAAAAATATTTTTCTTTTCACATTGTAGGCGGCAGGTGCATGACAAAGAGAAGTCACATCTTTGTCAATTTTGTTCCAAAGGTTTCTTCAAGAAATATCATTTGCAGGTTCATTTGAGGTATGTATTATATATTGTATGTATTACTAGCTGTCGCCCGCAGCTCCGTCTGCGCGGTATAAAAAAAATAATTAGTTGCCTATGTGTTCTTCCAGACTATGTTCTACATCTATGCCAAATTTCATCAGGATCCGTTCAGATGTTCTGGATATACCTTCAAACAAACATCCATCCATCCATCCAAACATTTGCATTTATAATTAAAGTAAGAAGTAAGAATATAGATTACAATTACGGATTTTTATAAGCATTTTTATTTTGTGCCGTTTAGCTAAGATTATTTTTATTAGACTTAGTTTGGCAGTCACGAAATGGTGACAGAGGCTTTACGTAACATTTGTGACGTCACATATCCGTACATACAGAATCCTCCGGCCACATGTTCCAGGAGCCACACAAAGGAAAAGCCCTACCAGTGTCAAGACTGCAAGAAATATTTCACGACGCGCAATTCATTGAAGACGCATCAGTTCATACACACCGGCGTCAAGATGTTTGCTTGCAGCCTGTGCGATATGACGTTCGCCAACCCAGGGTCAGTAGCAATAAATAAATTATGCCACTAACCGCACTCAGAGATGTTAAGTGGCAACTCGTTCGTAAACTAGTGTGTAAATATTCTCTGTTCCGAATCAAATGGTAACATAGACTTGAACCGTTGAGCCACGGCTTAAAAACTAATTGGCAGCTAAACGGTTCAACCAGATGTAAAATGCGAGTCGTAGAGCGATCGATGATGCGCTAGCGGCGGTGACTCATTGAAAAAAAAATCACACTTTACATCTTAAGCTGCCCGGTGACTCGCAGCTCGCAGCTCGAAACCCAACTCACAACTCAATGCAGATACAAATTGAATTGAGCCGGTTACTGCTTCATACTTGTGAACCGTGAGCTGATCTACAGATCATCAATTTTAGTTGAATTATAAAACAAAGAGTTGATATTTTTTAGTAGATTTTTGGTGGCCGTGGTTTTATTAGGAATTTGTAAAGCTTGACATGGTGTAGTGATGTTTTAGATTATTTTTATAGTATAATATAATATTTAATCTATTTCGTAGGTACATAAGTGCTCACATGAGAATTCACACTAAAGAGAAGCGCCACCAGTGCAAGTATTGCGACGCGCGCTTCGGCCGCTCCGACCACCGCAAACGGCACGAGGTTAACGTCCACGAGCGAAACTACGGCTTAATAAACAAGAAATAAAGATCACAATCGCTAAGCACAATAACGAAGCTTCCAACTTATTGTTATCTCTCTCGTTCTATTTGAGAAAAGAGAGATAGCATGTTTTTGTACAGGCGTTTAAATTGTTTTTCATTCCAATGGGTTTTAGTCAATTTTATGCAACAAAGTTTGTACGGATTCCGAATTAAAGCTGCATATTTGCGGTATTAGAATAGTTAGAAAATAGTTTATGATTGTTGTAAATATTTTTCCAATATTTGTACTTTAATACAAATCTACATGTTTCGTTGTAAAATTTTATATAATATTGTTGTGTTGTACAAAATAAGTTTATAATAAAAAATAGTATTTTGTTATTTTAGAGTATTATTTATTATAGATGATTGAAAATTTCCAAGGGAGATATAGGTAAGAAAGATTTAAAACAAACTTCAAATAAAAACACACTTTATTCAATCCAATCATCAACTCAAACAAAAATCAAATCATTAAGGACAAGGGCAGGAGTCTAGCGGCTTTTCGGCGACATTTTCCAGATCCTTAGGGCAGTAGCACTGATCTTCCGAAAGCCTGGGCGATTGTGTCGGCGAGTAGATATCCAGCGTGTTACTTATCGTCTCCAACTTGTCACTAAGGTGTGGATACTCCTTGCTCAGTGTTGCCACTATATTCTTCAGACTTTCATTAAGCGCTTTAGCCTGAGTATACTCTGCGATGACTGCCGCTTTAGGTTTCTTCACGCGTAGTATTTGACGTTTAACCGCCGTCGCCAATTCACTGCCCAGACGCTGACTACGTACCACTCTTTCGAGTAACTGAAAAAAAATAAGTTTGAAATTACACAGACCACACTCTCTATTTGGCAATATTTCTCGCTCCTCACAATTTTGCAATAAAAATGATACATAAACAGTTGTTCTTTCGTTTTTGCCTTCCATAAAATATTATATCCAACTCATATCTAACGGTCATGATAACGTCTATCCATCTCTTTCGCTCTTGTCGACACGGCATGTTCTGTCTCACTCACCCACTGCTTCTGTCGCTCTGTGTCGCGGCAGTCACGCAGCAGTGCGGCGACGTGCTCCTCCAGCTGCGAGTTGAGGGCGGCTGTGTCGACTGTCTCACGTCGCAACCGACACAGCTCGTTCTCCAAGTACTCCATATTGGCCTGCGCTTCCTTCAGCTCCTGGAAACAAAGCTATACATTAGTCTAAACATCCAAAACTCACGATAGTGGTATATGACAATGAAATTAATTTGATATCTAGCCTTGTTGAGCCTGGTGGCGTCTGCTCTGGCGAGGCGCAGCTTGTGGTAGTGTGCGGAGCGCGATTGCTGCGTCCCCCCGTGCGCCTTCTCAAGCGCGGCGGCGGCACGTCCCTTGTCGGCGGCAGTCTCGCGCCGCGTCACGTACAGCGCCAGGTCTTCAGACAACTTCTCCCCGGTGCGGCGCAGCTGGTCACGACGCACCTGGGAGTAAACATAACATAAAATTGTAGTAGCATTTACAATTCATCCCTCTAGATGTATTCCCTTCTTTGTTAACATGAATATTATAAAAATATATACAATCAGCGGAACATAATATTATTGTACGAAGTTACCTCCATTCTATGTATTTCAGTTTTCATCTGACCGATTTCCCCCTCCGCCGCCTTCGAGCTTTGAATGTTTCGTTTGAGCTCGACAGCGAGAATGCCCTGAAAATATATCACTAGTAAAAATAAACTTTGACTACTAGTACACTTTTCGTATACATATAAAAATTGTACTTTTAATAAGAAAAAACATTAGTATAGTCAGCAGCAAATGTGTAATATTAATATTCAACTGTTACTGGAATTTCAATCGAATAACTGTTACCTTTCTCTGCCAGATCAAAGCCTCTCTCTGAACTCTGTCCAAGTCTTGTGTCAGATTTATCTTCTCTTTTTCAAGCGCTTCTATATCTTCCTCTAATTCGATGATTTCAGATTCTGCATCCTGAAAAGAAATAAACACACTACCGATAAAAAAATCACGTTTGATCATACAAGACCATAGACTGCAAAGACATTCAATTTGTGAAGACAAATTTGCGAATAAGGAGAAAAGACACACACACACATAATGACAGATCATGATTGTAGCCATTGATGACGTCATGGTTCGCGTACCTTTAGATTGGCAGTGTACTCGTGGGTGAGCGCTGCGTGCGCGCGCTGTGCGTCCTCGTTGCGCTCGGTGGCGTCCTTGCGCGTGCGCTCCGCCACCTCGAGCCGGCCGCGCAACATGCGCAGCGAGCGCTCCACGGCCGCGCGCTCGCCCGCAATGCGCTCGCACTCCGCCTGGATGCGCATCGTCTTCTCATCGCAGATTTGGATCTCTGCAATGTTAATTCCCTTTACAACAGCATACGCATATGTTTCAAAGGCATACCCAGCCGATAATCAAGGCTTTTTATGCTAAAAGTGCTTATTAGCTAGGGATTGGAAGAAACTGACAAGTAGTACATATTTTATAGTTTTTCGATTCTCTAGAGGGGGACAGCTGCACCCATTGCCACCCTGAACTAGCGACGCCCATGTCATGTATACATAAATAGATTTGTTATGCTAAATTTACAGTTAGATATCTGATTGCGACAGGAAGCTTTCTGCAGTGATACAAGGGATAGTAAGCTTTATGATATTCCCATAAAGTACACAATTAGAACTAACGTTTATTGATGAGGTTCATATCGGCGAGTATCTTGTGATGGTGCGCGGCGAGCTTGACGACGTGTCCTTGCAGACGCAGCCAGTCATGCTGTGCGCGCTCGGTGCGCTCCCGTAACTCGCGGATCTGCTGCTCCAGCTCCTGGATGCGACGCTCCTGCGGCGACTTCATCTGCACGTGTGTACAACAGCCACAGATGTACAATAAAAAATAAAGCATATTTTGTTATCTCTACCTCATTTTGAAAAAAAAGGGACAGTGGAGTGGAATACATATAACCGTTAAAAAACCCACCCATTAAATAAGTATATTGTTTTTTAACCGTGTGTTTCTGAGACCAAAATCCCCATTTAAAATATATTGCTATCTCAGTTTTTTCAATGGTAACGACATAGATGAAGATATGTTGTATTCAGAGATTTAGATCTTAGAGACCATACAGACTAAATACATACGTCAAACACTTCTTTAAGCGCTATATATTTCTTCATCATGATATCAAGTTCCCGCTGCTTGCGCGTGAGCAGCAGCGTCTTGCGGTCGTACTTCTCCTGCAATAGCTCTATCTCTTTCTCTCTCGCGGCCACCTTGTTCATGCACTCTTCTAACACGCGCTTGTTGTGCGCCTGTCTGCTTCGGTGCATCTCGATGTCCAACACAATCTTAGCGTGTTGGTTCTCCATTCCTGTTAGTGTCATCTCCTAAAACAAGTATACAAATTTTGATTATTAGTACACTAATAAAGAAATCCATAGCACATCTGAGTATATTATAAAGGATTAATCTTGTTAAAAAAAACAAAAAGAAACATCGTGATGCAACCTGCACATCTCTGAGAAGTAATTCAAAAGATATGTGTGATGTCAACCAACACGCACTTGGCCAGCGTGGCTGACTATGGCCTAATCACCCTTAACTTAGGGTAGGCTCCGAGCCTCTTAGTGGGGACGTATAGTGAGCTGATGATGATGATGATGAATCTTGATTAAATTAATAGTCCATAGAACTTATTTTTTCAATACTATCTGTAAGTTAAACGTACTTGTTTTCTAGACATTTCTCTCATCTTCTTAATACCGTTGGCCATTGCCTCGACCGCCTTGTCGTTCAGCAGGCACTCTTGAAGATTTGATAATATTTCGTTCTCCAATTTTAATTTCAGTTCAGTCTTGTGTTGTAAATCCTTTTCGGTGGTTCTTAATATGTTCTTCATTGTTTGGTTCTCCTGTATAACGATTAACAAACATAAATATACTGAAACTAAACATAAATATTTTGAATAAGAAACAATAAAAAAAGCCTATAAATGCAAAAGACTGTAATCTAAAGAAACCTCGCTCTTCAAAAGTAGTCAAGCTATATCTACAGGTGGAACAAAAATTAAATTATTTTTTTTTAACAAACAAAAAACAAGACAATGTTACCGATTTCACAAGTTCCTGGTCCCTCTCTGTCATCTCTATGGACTCTGTGATGTCGGCTATTTGAGTTTGCAATGCATCGCGGCGCACCTCTTCAAATTCCACTGCAAACATACTTATGTATGTCACTGACAAATCACGGAATCCGCCAATTTGTAATTTGCGAAAAATAAACGAACGAACATATCGAACGAATTCATTCACAAATTGAATTATATTTCGACAACTAGTAAAATTGATTCTAAAGGTTTCTCAAAGTATCAAGTTGGTCTTGTAATTTTTTTTATGAATAACTCACAATATTTGGATGCTGAGGCGATGTCGTAGTTGATCTTGTCCTTGTTCATTGCAATCTCCTTGCTCCTGTTCATCTCTTCTATTGCGACCTTCTTCGATATCTCCAAGTTGTTTAGTAACGTACGATAATTTTCTTGTAGCGATCTTAAAAATTGATCAAATAAAGAAATATTATAATGACAATGACTTTATTTACGTACTGAGATTGTACGCAAATATTTTCGTATATATCTCACTAACGGGCAGAAGCAATTGTTGAGAACCAACAAATCCTCATAGAATATGTGAGGTCTACATTTCGACACCAAGGAAACCACATCAAGACTTTCATTTTAATAGTGACCTAGTGGAAAAAGGGTTTTAATCTTTATCAATACTTATACTTTACTTGTAATCATCCCGCACGGAGTCATACACTCTGTCTCGCTGTTGTATATTCACCAGCACCGAGTTCCACAGACTGACCAGCCGACGTTTGTCAAGTTCCAAGTCTTCCAACTCCGCCGCGTATGCTGTCACCTGGGAATATTAGTTAAATGGCTAAGATTATGGACTAGCCAATACAACAAGATTAAGACCTGTCAACTTCTGCCACAGTATTGTAGGCCGTTAAAAACAATTCAAAACTTTTTTTTGGGAAATATGAATTGGCCAACTATAACTTCTTTACAATGAAAGGCATCCATATAGGTTTTTATCACATTGATTGCGTAACGGTAGATGAAAACCTTATCGTTAACTTGTTCCATCTCGGCATTCTTAATTTCCATCTGCTTCTGGAACAGCTCCAGCTTGGATTCTAACTTCCACACCTCATTGCTCAGGTTGTAGATAATCATATCCTGAAAAAGAAATAAATACCCAAAAGTTATCCTTGGGTAAGCAATGTTAAAAAGCAATCTGGGAGTCTGTCTCAATCTCTCACCAGTTGTCTCTTTTCATCCGCTAGAGCTTTCTTCTCTGTCTTCATCTTCTCCGACATTCGCTGGTTGACCGTCAGATCTGACTCCGTCTCGTCTCTCCAGGCCTCCAGTTGCCGGCAGAGTGTGGTCAGAGCCTCTAGCTCCTCTGTAGCCTCCCGCTCTAAAATACGACGTAACCAAAGACGTCAGCCACGTGAAACCGACGTTAGAAAAGTTTAAACAAAGTGAACTATATCACAAAAACTTTACGGACGTAATATTATACGTTATTGGCATTTTGGAGACGTAAATTAATAAATACTTACCTTGTACAGCATTTGAGTCCAACTTTTGACGAGCCTGTTTATATTTTTCAGTGGAAACGCGAACTCGTTCTTCGGAAGCTAAACGCTCTGCTCTTTTCGCCGCCAACGTTTGTTCGTATTCTTCTATAAGGGCCTATGACAGTATTATTAAAGATAAATTTATAGTAAATTAAAATTTCCTGGTGCTTATAAAAATTTAGTATTATTTTGCCAAGTGAATTTCTGTTACGAGTATGTAGAATATATAAATGTTTAAAAATCACACATACTCTTTGAGCATTGGTATCGTGGTCATCACGGTAGATTGTCTCAAGGTCCTTATCGTACGCATCTTTGCTTTGTTTTAGTTCGTCTTTCTGAAAATAAAAACATTTGTTTGCAGTGCATTATATTGTCATAACTTTCAACTGCCGAAACACTCATTCTCCTTGAAAAAAATGAGATGATAATATTTCTTCATACGATAGTTTAGAAGTGGATGTGTATGTCTCTTACCAGTCTTTGTATTTCGTCAGCGGCAATTTGATTTTCCTTTTCCAGGAACCGTTTCAATGTTTCCTGGAATTTCTGCATGAGGGGATGCGTGGCCTCCAGCACGGCGGGCATCGCGCCCATTACGCGTTTGCTACGCCATCTAGTATAGGTTAATTATACAATTCATTGTTCTAGCCCTTGGTATACGATTAACTTCCATTATGTCGTTTTTAGCAAGATATTGCCTTCATTTATTTATAAATCAAAACAACTTTATTTACATATTATACTTTTGAGCGATCATATATTGACGTTCACTCAGTTCGTAGTCGACAGCATTGTACAGTCCGTGGATGCTATACCATAGTTTCTTAGTTACGATTTTAAAGATATTAGATTGGCACGTCAAAATTAACTCTTATTTTATCATTTGTGATTACTGACTCATCGAAAGCTTCCCGGCCGGCCCTGTTGCAGCGGCACTGGTCCACAGGACAGCGACAACACGCGCACTCCTCCTCCGTCGCCGGCGGGACCGTGTCGTAGCACTCGCACACCGGGGACTGACGAATACATTTACGTGTTATGACAAATACTCGCATTAGACCAGAAGTTGTCTAAAGCCTAGTCACTTTTAGACATAAGGTAGTCACAGAGTTCAGAGTATGACCTGACGACGACGAAAAAATTTAACAAATATGGTGACATGAATACGTATGGTGTACCTTATTCTTTACCATTGCTTTAGTAATAAAATTATATCTTAAACATCGTAGGTATTGCCTAATAGTCCTGATATATCTTATATTTTGTATAGGTGCATGCAACATGGTCAGATCTTCGTTTTTTTTTGAGGGGGCAAGCGAACAAACGGTCACCAGAATTTGCTAAAATAACCTTCATATTTTAAAATTGCATTGTTACAGAAGTTTGCTTCCTGATGTGTAAAGTTTGCATATAATCATTGAAACTGCTTTTAAAAATACTAACCTCTCGATAAACCATTTGCTCGTTTCTGTATTGCAAGCAATGTTCTTCGTGCACCACGATATCATGGTCGTCCCTCGGACAGACGCAGCTAGGCAGCACGGGCGGCGCCTGCTCGGGCTCCTTCATACACTTGTCGCATTCCATACTTAACACCGATGGTTTCAATGAGCTTCGTAACAAAATATCTCCAAATCTTCTCTGCGTTGTAAAGCTACTCCAAATATAAAAAGCGTTGTTATCGGTTGCTAGGCAACAGTTGACATGACAGTTTTATTTTTTGGATAAGCTTTGTTTTATTTTAACATGGTTATTTTTTTTTAATAAATCTCAAAAATATAAGCGTTGATCTTCTTATATATATAAAAGAAAATCGTGTTAGATTCAAGAACGGTTTTACCGATATGGCTGAAAATTGGTGAAGAGGTAGCTTAGAGCCAGGAGACGGATACGGAGGAGATTATTTTTTTTTCGAATTTATGCCTTAAAGAACTGCTTTTTATTTAACTTACTAATATTATAAATGCGAATGTTTAGATGGATGTGATGTGGATGGATGGGCTACACTAATTAAATTTTTTTACATATCAGCGGACGGAATCGCTGGCGACACCTAGTATAATTATAAAATAAATTTGAAATTAGTAATGTTCGTTGGAAAATTTTAATGTAGGAAGATCTTAAATCGCCACAATGATCACAGTCTACTGCAACAATTTATTATCATATCTGTAATTTCATTCAAATGTCTTCAAATTACATGTTGCATATTTATTTGCGTCTCGTCTCGAAGGCTGGTCGTCATAACTGTGTTTTTAAAACTCGCTCAGATTGACGTTGGCATCATTAACCGTGGGTTTCTGAATTCGAAATCCACATTTAAAACATATGTTTTCTGTTATATCTCTGTTTTGTCTAACAACATTGATGACGATATGTTTTACACAGAGATTTTGCTCTCACAAACCAAGGGTTACTCATGTTACTTAGCGATTGTTTCGAGAAAATTAGTCACATAACATCCAACGGTCCCTTAATTTGCGCAGTGTTAAAATCTAGAGCAGTGGTTCCCAAACTTATTTTGTCCACTGCCCACTTTGAGAATAAATATTTTTTTGGCGCCCCCATATTAGAGTTTAAGCAATCTTTTAATTTGTATTAGTTGATGTTTAGAAGTTGTTGTTGAGAGTCGAGAGCTCATGCAGTCAATGTCTAAGAGGCCTCCTAGCTAAATAAAATTACAAATCACCCCCCAGGCCTCTACACAACGCCCCCATTTTCTTTCTGGGTCTCTTACCGCCCCCTTGAGACCGGCAGCGCCCACAAGGGGGCGTTATCGCCCACTTTGGGAAAGACTGATCTAGAGGTATAAAATAATGGGTAAATAAAAATGATTTCAATACATCTTAGCATTTATTTTTGTGTAATGTCGAATACAAATCGCAATTTTCATATCAAATATTTAAAAAAAAATGCTATCAATTAGCATTAATAATAATTGTACATCACTAAAAACGTAAGCAAATTGGACGCGGTACATCGTAACTCGAAGGCGTCTGATTGGTTAATACTTAGAAAAAATAATGCAGGCACGTTCAACTTAATAACTAATATAATTAAATCCAAACACAAATTGTGATGAAAGACGCAAATTATTTCTTGCCGAATACTGTTTTTTTTTTAAATATTATATGGCATTTTTATTGTTATACATCCAGCTGCCTTTAAAAAATACAAAATAAACAAAATAGTTTTTTTTAATAATATTAATATAATAAAGTCTAAAATAAAAAAGAGCTAAAATATTGCAAAAATCTCCACTCATTTTTTAATTAAACACAGATAAAATAAGGCTAAAATATACAAAATATGAAATGACGTAATTCTCAATTTAAAATTAAAATTGACAATGCCATGGAAATACTAAATGCTAGATAATAAAAAAAATACTAAATTATTTGTCGTTACTAATTTACCTACAATAAAGTTTTTCTTTACTATTAAAAAAAAAGAAATAAATAGGCACGTCACATTCACGAAGAATGTTCAAAGTTTTTTTTACAATAGAATTCAACTGCCGTGAAACCCGTCTTTAAATATTTGTTATCTTAATTTTCTCAGAGAGAATGAAAGGGATGCATAATGCATAAAAATATCACCGCAGTGGAGTTCTACCGTTATAATCTTAATACATTAATTTCACAATGTAACTTACCTTAATTATAAAAACAAACCACAATCAAATTGCAGTACTGTCATAAAAAAAACTGCTATGGCTTTAATTTTTTGTACTGAATTAAAAATATTCTAATAAAAACTTTTTCCTCGGTCTTAAGTACGAATAATGATTTTTATAAAGAATAAAAAAATTGTAATTTTTTTTTAATAATTCAAGGACACAATTGTGTAAAAATATCAAACTATAAAATGCATAATCTCTTATAAATTAACTTAAAACAGAAAATGTACAAGTGATAATAAAATTATTACTAACAATAAAAAATATTAAAAAATCGTGTGACCAATCGGTATTAAAAATGATTTTCGTAAGAAAAAAAAAGGATAGCATTTAAAATAATATTCAATCTATATATTTAAATATTCAAAGCTCTGGGCAGTATTTTTAGCTGTTTTAGTATTGAAATGTTTTGCGCACAATAATTATCTAATAATTCGATGACATTAGACATCTTAAAAACAATATTTATTATGAACATGATTCTATAGTCAATGTTAAAGTCAAATATAAAATCGATATTTTGTATCGGATACAATAAAAAATGTGTGTACATACGAGTATAGGCGTTTTTGTATTTGGGGGCGTGTGTTATCGTGTTGGGGGCGTATGTTTTCGTGTTGGGGGCGTGTCCTAATGCGTCTCGGTGGGTGTTGGTGTGGGGGGCACTGGCACGGCGAGCGGCGACCTCTGGCGGTCAAACATCTCGAGGATCAGCTTGGGGTCTGTTCCTGCCGGCACCGTTATCGTTCCCGTCTACAGAGAACGGCTCATGAGTACCAACGTACATTCTTGCCTGCGGCATTGCGTGACGGTCGATCGCTTTCTATTAAACCAAGTTTACTTTATCTTTGTTCTATAATCTTCGTTTCCATGACAACACGAACGAACGTCACAACACTGCGCAGTTATTCAGTTAGTATATGACGGGTATGTTAGCTTTTTATGGATGCATGCAAGGCAATACGCCGAGCGTTGAAAAAGTACCACGCTATGAAAAGAGTTACATTTTCAATAAAACTAAAATCTTTTTTTTAGGAGCAACCTGAAATCCTATAGTACATTTAATCGACGGAGGAGGGGATGCACGGAAAAAGAATATTTCCCCTTCCCATGCATCCTCTTATCCGGAAAATGCACTTTTATCAGCATTTTACTAAGCAATATGAATCTTTTAGGTGATGGAATATGTTTATGTAACTCTTGTCACGAGTGGTATCAGGATGTATAGGAAAGCAAAGTGTGGGGTACCTCAATACGCGTGATGACTCCCTCCTCGCGACTGTGCTCTAGGACTACAAACAAAAACACAAAGCGCCCGTCAAACATACAAACAAACAATAAACATATAAACGGTATAAAGCGTTATCTGATTATAATATACTATATGATTTTATATAATTTTGTTTATCGCATATAGATATAGCAAAATAATAAAAGATTAATTTCTTACTAACTATAGTATAAAAGATCATTTAGATATATATAGATGACCTTAATAACCTTGTCTGTATGTTGCTTTTTACATATGTTTTTAAAAAGTAGCTCGTGAAACGTCTAAAGCCAGCTAAGCCTAGAAGTATATAAGCATTGTACGTACATATATTCATATTTTAAAAAGCAAATTTGTTTCAAATACTTTATTTACTAAGATAAAATATTGTTTTTATAATACACTAGTTGTCTCCTACGATTTCTTCCGTGAGAAATTATAAAATACTTAATAAGTAGCCTATGTCTTCCAGATTGTTCCTGAGATACGCGAGCCATCCATCCATCCATACAAAATTCCCATTTATAATATTAGTAATACATTCAAGATTATTTAGGTATCATTCGGTGTTGTCAAAATATAGGTGTCTCTAATCTGATAAATGAGTCGTAAAAATGTGTTTCTAAATTTAACATTCGTATTCATGCGAGGATTTTACTGTAATTTCCTAATTAATATCTACCTCGTTAGATGGCATATAATATATAACATGAAGTCAGCTAAAAATATATATAAATAGCAAGAGTGAATATTGCTAAGCTTTTTGTAATTAATAGGAGATTTTCAAATTCAAAATTTACATTAAAAATATTTAATTAGATATGTTAATAATCTGTGTGTTTAAGTTAAAAGTTTAATGTGTTTTAAAAATGTTACTTACTATTTTCTTTGGTCGTATTGTTTGTTGTTGTGGTTGTTGTTGTCGCGTCTGCATTGCCGTCGTTGATTGTCGTCCTTGTTGTAGTCTTCACCACCAAGGAACTTGTGTTCACTTGCGAATTCTGTTGAGTTTTATTGCATTAAAAAGCCATCAGGCTATACACGTAGTATTTTGTGCCTATTCGATTTCCACCATATTGATGCTGATGTTAGCAATTGCGTTGGTGTGAATTACATGAACAAATAATATAGATACTAGCTGTCGCCCGCGACTCCGACCGCAGGGAATTAAAAAAAATATTTAGTAGCCTATGTGTTCTTCCAGATTATGCTCTATATCTATGAAATTTCATCATGATCCGTTGAGCAGTTCCGGAGATACCTTCAAACAAATATCCATCCATCCATCCATAATATAACAGTAAAAAGCACTTCACACTATCGCTTGGTAGTCTAAACATTCAGTTAGATTACTTTCGTTAAAAAACCTTGGGCCACTAAGCTATTTCTTAAAACAAATATCCCTTTTCCGTTGAGACAATACCAGAGGTATAATACGGAGTAGGGTAAGGGACCTCGTTTACCCTGTAAGACATAATATCGTTACCTGCAAGTTGATGTTGAGCTCTGTGGGGTCAGCGTTGGTGTGGTCACGCACAGAGTCCACCGTGATGTCCCCCGACGCAGCCGTCACGTCGTGCACCGTCTCCGCTGTCTCCTCCTGTAAGTCACGTCATAATTAAATTTCGTTAATATCTAAATCCATACATAGTAATGTACGTGTTTGTGACGTGACGTGACGTGTACGAACACACGCACGCATTTGCGTACACGTGTACGCACGTATACGCATCAATACGGAACTAAGTTTTTGCTAAGTCAATTGTGATGTGATAGTCTTATTATTTTTGCTTGTATGTTTTTTTCTCTTTTCTCTCTTGGCTTTCAAACGAAGTGACAAGTAACTGACAAGCTGATAAGAATATTTGGACTTGGAATGAGGATCAGGAAAGCTTGTATGTTATTTGCCTAGTTATTAGTATTGTAAAAAGAGCAATTTGGTTGCTTTATTGTTCCTTTTTAGGAGATTAAGAAATACCTTGTGTTCACCGTTGGTTAGCGGCGTATCCTCGGCGGGTCCTCGCAGCGCGGCCGCCCATGGCGCCAGCAGGATGTGGCATTGAGCTATCGTTACCTGACAAATTTAAAACAATATTAATATAAAAAATTAAAGAATCACGGAAGTACGAAAATTTGACCTCTGCAATTTTAGTGTCTGGAAAATATTATTGTGGTTACCTTAGTAGCAGACAACGTAATCCTCTGCAGTTCAGAGGACGAGTGCAAGTAGAGAGCTTCGCCACGCTTCGAGAAGCATAGACTTGAAATGCCGCTGAGAATAATAACAATAAAACGAATTTTTAGCTTATCAAAGTGTGAAATATAAAAGTTATTAATGTTATGGTCATACAAATATTACCCTAGGTTTGCATTTAAATAACTCCGAACTCTAGTCTGATTTTAAAAAGTCCTTCACCAATAAATAGCTATTTTATTAGAGACTTACATAACGTATCATATCTTTAATCCATACAACTATGCATAGCAATTTTACTTATTAATATTATAAATGTGAATGTTTAGATGTATGTTTGTTAGAAGGTATCTGTAGAATGGCTGTATATATAGTCTGGAAGAAGATGGGACGAAGTCGGGGGCGAGAGGTAGTAAGCATTACTTGATGTCCTCCTTGCGCACGGCGGCGGCGTTGAGCTGTCTGCGCAGCTCGGGGCTGAGCACGAGGCAGTCGCCCAGGTTGGTGAGGCACAGCAAGCACCACTCGCGGTGTCTCTCACCGCCCGCCACACATTCGAACCACGCGAACGCTGTACGACGCACCTGCAGCAAATATCACCTTCTAATACTATTTTTACCACTTGGTTTGTGCGGTGTTGTGCGTGTGTATGTGTACGTGTGTATGTGTACGTGTGTATATGTGCGTGTGTATGTGTGTATATGTGCGTGTGTATGTGTACGTGTGTATGTGTACGTGTGTATATGTGCGTGTGTATGTGTACGTGTGTATATGTGCGTGTGTATGTGTACGTGTGTATATGTGCGTGTGTGTGTACGTGTGTATATGCGCGTGTAGATTTACTTAGTGCCCATAAGTTTCCGATACAGCGAATTGTGTGTGAGATGTTTTTCTTACATTGACATTATAACTTGTAGTTTTAAATTTTACAGTATCCTTTAAAAATATATCATTGTAATATTTTTATTTATCTCACTTTACTCTAATCTTCAACCCCAACTTAGGGTAGGCTCCGAGCCCCTTTTGTGGGGAAACATAGTGAGCTGATGATGGAGAGATTAATCTATGGCCACAATCTTGATGTTAAGCGAAACGTATGAGACGACGTATCTATGGAGAGTGTATATATATTTACCCTGGCACCCTCGTGCGCAGTGAGCTTGTACTTGTTGTGGGGCTTGAGCGACGGCAACGTGAACACCTTGAACTGCTCCTCCGAGGTGATGAGCACCCGGTGCGTGCCCGCCTCCGGCAGCGCCGACACGCCGCGCTCCACCTGCACACAACGCTCTCACTTAATACAGACCAAACATGTAATTTACCGCAATCTACAAATAAAATGCTAAATGAAAGGCTTTAATTTTTTTTCCATTAATCTAAAGAAATAAAAGAAAAAATTCCATTAAATTTAAACTTTTCTAATGAAGCTAAGTTTTTACACACTGCAATACTTTTAAAATTAAAAAAAAAATTGCCCTCAAAGTAAAACCTACTAAGAATATAATATTATACGTAACTACTTTTATCTGTTTTTTTTTTAATTAGGAAATTTTATGCTACGACCCCTGGAAAACACAAATTGTGGTAATAAATATATAAACTATCCAACTTAAGATACCCTTATACAACTCCAAGAATGATTACAAATAAAATGAGTCGTCAAAATCAGTTCAATCGTATGTTTCTAGATAATCATATTTATTAGTCGGGTAAACATATTGTTATCCTACTCTTACACATTGCAAAAAACAGAGATAGCAATATATTTTGTTACCTCTAAAGGATCTGGCAGCGGCACTGACGCTCCGTCTAACACTGTGATGCCAATAACAGGGGCTCTGTGTTTCAGTTGGATTTCCTTTGCTAATTGACACGTCACCTGCAAAAGAAAAGATAGAAAAATAATATAAAAACAACGTAATTTCATGATTTTTTTTATTTAAACAAGAAAAAACTTCTACAGATTTTTGGTCCGTAATTTTTTGCACGTATTCCTTATGCAAAAGTGATTTTGTGAATAATGACTTTCATGATTTAAAACCTTGTATAATATGCGAAAAATAATTAGGCTTGAAAAATATATGTAAATACATACGGGTTCTTCTTTCCGTTTGTTTGTGTTGGGTACGTTTAGTGTGAAGGCGTACACAGTGCCGTTGTTGGTGCCCGCCCACAGCGTCGGCGTTGAATTTTGTGCTGCACACGAGAATATCACAAATTTAATTTATTTAAACATGCAATATACAGGATATACATCGTTATGATTAATATTGTTAAGGAAAGACGATTTAAAGTGTATTTTATCATTATTTTTTTCTTAACTTCTCTTTGTTTTTACTTTTATATTATAAAGTGGCAAACGAACAAGCAACCACTCCAATAGATTGAAATAGCGAAACGACCCACCGAAAGACAATATTTCCCCTTCCTAAGCGTTACTTCCCTCAAATCCACTTTCTCTTTCCTACCTACCAACCTACCAAGAGAAGTAAAATCAGGCCCCTAGCACACACTCATCAGACTGTACTTGGAACTGACTACCATTTGATGCGTGTCTTCTGTGTGGTGATGCTATTGCTCCGGGCGATACTTACTATTGATAAGGAATGTCCTCGCGAAGTACAGACAGCGCACAATGGAGCCTGACGCGCCATCGTTAGAGCGCGCCTCCACCGCCCGCTCTACTGGTTTCACCTCTGCATCTGTTTCCGATATCTTGTCCGCTGGTTTCTTTGCCGCTGGCTACATAACAACAAAAACAACACTAATTAATATTACAGTAAAACTTAGAGAAGTTTAATGGTCACTTAAACGGTCCCCTGGAGATTTTTCATACAAAATCCGTAAACATTCATTCAGTACAAATCTAAACTAAGCGTTTAAATAACCATGAAACGATTCTGTGGCAGAATTTGTATCTAAATTTGTTTGCTATCTGTACACATTTTGTATATTCTATTAAATTGTACGGATAGCATTCAAATAAAGAAAAAAGCGGGCAAATTGCTTGTATTTACTTTTTTCGTTGTTTGTTCCAATGTCTGACTGTATTATAAAGCGGCGTATTGCGAAGCTCTATTAATCCAACAAAGAGAAAGCCTATAAAAGCTTCAAATGCGATGGAAGCGAATCCAATGGGCCGGTGTCCGCCAAATCTTGAAGTGCAAATAAAAACGCACAAATGTGCAAATTGCTGCTTTAAATCAAAAGAAAACGGTTGATTTTGCATTGATCTATAATAGATCGATGGTAGCAAAGCTCTTTTACACTAACTATAGACTGGACTCAGGTAAAGGCAAAGTAAACGTACACTATCGTCTAGTGTTGAGGGTACTTGTGAAGAAGAGTCAGAATAACTGCTGAGGTCGCTGTCGAGTCCGGACTTTGGATGGCGGAGGAAAAAACGTTTATGTTAAGACTATCGCTTCTATAAAATATTATACGTTGAGATGTTAGGGGCGTGGCTTACTTGTGACTGGGAGGTGGGGCTCGAGGATGTATTCTGCCGCCGCTGCGACCTTCCTTTTCTTAGACGTCGGAACGATTCTCGGAGGGATTTTTTGAAGGATTTCCGTCTCGATATTGGCGTGTCTCCGGCGCCAGAATAATCTGCGAAAAAAAATTGATACTAACATTTTTATACTATGTAGAATCTTCTTCGTCATTACAGTCTTGTCAGACTGGTCGTGGATATCATACCTATCATACTAGAATCTATATATATAAAAACCAATTGCTGTTCGCTAGTCTCGCTAAAACTCAAGAACGTCTGAACGGATTTATCTTATGTTGGTCTTGCAATGGTTGTGGAGGTCTGGGGAAGGTTTAAAAGGTGAGAAAATTGCCGAAAACTAATTAAGTCTTTTTTTCATTCCACGCGGACGGGGTCGCGGACAACAGCTACTAGTAGAATAAATATAGCGATAAAATTAGATATCACAATTTATTTATCCAGAATAGAGTTAAGAAATTCCTATAGTATTTAGATGACATGGTACCGTGTGGGTTGAGGGTGCAGCGGTGCAGCAGCGGGGTGGCGGTGATCGCGTCCAGCAGCGCGAGGCCGTGGGCGGTGCCGGCGCAGACCACGCCCCACTCCCACTGCGCCGCCAGCGCCGTGATGCCCGCCGGTGGCGACAGCTGCGCCACCGCGCTTGCCTGCGTACATACATCGTTACATCTCACATTTTGAAGATATATACAAATCCCTCACCTCGGGGGCGATCGTTTATTATCCTGTTTATGTTCTGAACAAACATGTTACATAGAGCGAGACACAAAGAAGTTGGTTGGAACTCTTGGTTGAAAAATATTAAATTTAATCCAAACAATTATTTCAAAACTAAATGTATACACTTAGTGTACTGATTTTGTAGGGTTCTGTACCTCGGAAGGAAAAAAGCGGAATCCTTATAGGATCACTTTGTTGTCCTTCCGTTTGTCGGTCTGGCAAGTTTCTTTTTTATATGGAATAAGCCGGCGCTTGACCACGATCCCCCTGATGTTAATGATGTCATCGAAATTACGCAGTAACTTAGTAAATACCTATTCACTCTCCTCTTAAAGGCCCTTACGTACTTGAACGGAAATCTGATGCCGTTAAGCTCCAATCCTTTTGAATACCATAACATACCTGGTATCCTTGTGGGAAGGTGTGAGTGCCAGCGCGGAGTGTTAACTGGTCGTGCCCCTTCCACACGAAGCCGTCCCGGTCTGACACGATGTTCACTGACATCGACTGAAAAATATATACAAACATAAGTCAAATGACTTACTCTGACAAAATTATCTGTGACGTGGCAAAAATTGGAACTACAATCTCCATATTTAAATATCAAGCAATAATAGCGTCGCTAATTTATGGATAACTTTGGTTATGATATTATCTTACTAATATTACTTAATACTATAAATGCGAACGTTTGGATGGATGGATGATTGAAGGAATCTCCAAAACGGCTTCATGGATTTCGCTAAAATTTGGCATTGATGACATAGGCTACTAATTAAGGTTTTTTTTTAATTTCGCGCGAACAAAGTCGCGTTCGACAGCTAGTTTCATAATAATCATTCAAATTACAAACTTTAACTTCAGCAGTGCTGGGGGTCGTCTTGAGGCTGGCTACGATAATGTGTCCGGCCGCTCCACCGATCGTAAGCATACCCGATAAGGGACAAAGGATGACCTATAAAATAAAAAGGAGTTAAAGATATTTCTTCATATATTCCTTTCCTTAAAAGAACGCTATATCAGAAGGCAAGAACATATATAACGTTTTTGGCCAATTTGGTAAATCTTACTAATATTATAAATGCGAATGTTTAGATGGATGGATGTTTGTTTGAAGGTATCTCCGGAACGAGTTAACGGATCACGATAAAATTTGGCATGGATGTAGAACATAGTTTGGAAAAACACAAAGGCTAATATAAAAGTTATTTTAAATTCCGCTCGGACAGAGTCGCGAGTAACAGGTAGTTGAATAATAAATCTAGATTTTAGACTCACTCGTTTAACGCCTAGTCTCGGATCATCGCTGTAGGGATCAAATGTACCGACACGTCGGAAAGGCGGCCATTCCTCCTCGTCGTTTTGACTGTCATTGTTCTCGCCTATATCTTCACCGCTATATAAAAACAATAAATATATAATGTAACTTATTTAATTTATTAATATTTTAATCTTTAGTTAAAATGTTAACTATTTCCGTTTATTTTTAATTCAAAGATTTATAGCATATCCTTTAGATCTCTTCACTTAAATTAGAAGTAATTTTCTTCTTCTGCTTTTTATTAATATCGGGTAGAAGTTTTTTTTTATATTTTTTTGTGCAATGTGCAAGTGAATTTATTAGCTATGTGTTCGTATGTTATTATTTTAATATACTAACGTATATCGTGTGTTAACCACAGGCTTTCTTGCTGTATTTGTTTAGTTGATTTTCAAATGGTTTAAATTTAATTGTCATTATATTGTGCTTATTAGTCAGATTTTCTAGCATTTTTAAAATTTATTATGTTATACAAATTTTATTCCACCAATGTTTAGTTTAACAATTTTAATGCAGTAACATTATGAACTAAATTTCGTATTCACTTCACCGAGCTTAACTAAGTCCCTCTATTGGCATAATGAGTAAACAGCTTTTTTTCATTACGTTTACTACGTATTATAAAGTTTTTAACACAGATTATATAATAATATACACATAATACTAATGTTAGACAAAAATACATAAGCTTTATTTATAAATTGAATAGATACTTTATTATTTTTCTTACATAAAAAAGGCAAACAAACAAAAAATATAGCAACACTGAACATGAACTGTCACTGTCATTTTCTAGGACAATACTAAATAATTTTTGTCTTTATATCATTAACACGACTATATATAAGATACTACCGTAATCAGCCTAAGTGTAGATTTACTAAAACTACACTTAGGGTCTCTGAGTACGGCAGATAGATATGTAAATGCACAACAAAACATAATCTGCAACAAACAGTTGTTAGCATAAAGCACTGGACATGCTTACAGAAACCGTTGTTTACCTCGTCCTCGATCGTTTCAGTCCGCTTTGAAGCGTCGCAAGCGAGAAGCAAAAGGTCAATGGTTAGATGATATTATCAAGCATACGAATTTTGACTTAATCATACATATTAAAATGTACATCTAACTTATATTCATAATATATAATCGTTTTTGGATTATATATATGTAGTAACTACCTAACAAATGGGACAGGAAACTAAATATACCATTCTCTCTACGATGCTCGGATGACAAATGATTTTATGATCGAGGTAATACTGGATTAATATTAAAAGGCGTCACCATCACCAAAACTAATTCTTTATAAATTGTATTGTCAAAAATTAAAGAAAATTAACTACATCTTAGCAGTATAAGTTGTGTATACACGAAATAATTTAGTTTTTGTTTATAAAAATGTTTTATAATGGATTAAAACACTCGTAAGACACGCCTTTTGACTCCTCCCACCAAATAACCACACCACAAAAGAAAAATATGTTCTTACCAAAACAAATGTGCAGTGGTGTACTTGTAGAGGGGGGTCATGGGCACGCCGCTGACGTCCCAGAAGCGCACGGAGCCGTCCTCGTGCCCCGTCAGCAGCAGCTGTCGCTCGCCCGCCTCCCCGCCTTCCACCACGCCTCCGGAGATAGGCCACGCCCCCTCAGAGTACATATTCTCCGTTTGCTGCTGCCCTGTTATTATTACCGGCTTTTTTATTTATTGAATTAAAAAATAGTAATAATTATAGTCTATTTCGTCGAGGGAATAGCTTACCAACAGTGAAATAATTTTTAAAATAGGTTCGGTTTCTGAGCCTTATCAAGGCTGACAAACGATCAAATCTTTCCTCTTTATAATATTAGTATATATAAAATGGGTTATCATCACACAGGACTTATACAAGTCAATTTTTAGTATCTGATCTGGTACTTTTTTAAATATAGGCCAGTTTTAAAGATTCCGAGTCTGTTGGTTAATGTTTTAGTGTGTCCTTACCCGCGGCAACAATATTATCGTAGACATTGTTAGCGACGTTGTCAACGAGCTGCGCGGTGATGACAGCGGAGGCGTGCACCGACACCAGGTAGGGCAGGCGCAGCGGCCGCCAGCGCGCGTCACATAAGTCGATCACGACAAGCTCCTCTTCTACCAATACCACCTTAAGACAAATGATACTTGAATTATACAAAAACGTACGTAGAGATTTTAATAAATCTTACTAATATATACATGCGAATGTTTAGATGGATGGATGTTTGTTTTAAGATATCTCCGGAACGGTACAACGGATGTCTCTGAAATTTTGCATAGATGTAGAACATAGTCTGGAAGAACACACAGGCTACTTATTATACTAAGTTTTTTTTTTAATTCCGCACAGAGTCAGGGGCGATAGTTAGTTTGTTATATAGCAGATTTTCAAAACATTTTCCCTACAAACATTCTAATCAAAACAGACTTCGAATGCGGATGTGTCAAACTATCCTTGTTATTTGATAATTAACAGTCACGTGTCTATATCTAGTAATCAAGGCACCAAAGATTGTTGTATTAACTTCGTTGAAAGTAACGTAAAATGTAAATTAATAGCGGCCACCTTGGCCGAAATCGGAAAATTTTTATAACAAATAAAATATTGCAGGTTTTTCTAGGTTATTGGTAATATTAACATGTAATATTGATGTGAAATGCTGTAAAATAAAATACATTACCAGTGCGGCGGCGACTTGGTTGACGGTGTGCGCGGAGAGCAGCGCGGGCGTGTCGGGCCGCTCCTCCTGAAGCGGCGCGCCGTCGGGCGGCACCGGCGTCGTCGTGAAGAAGTCTATCACCTGTCACAATGTACAACATGAACAGTCTGTAATAGATGGCGCCACCAGGGTATTAAACAACACTGGCACATATTGACGCTGCGAAGTATGTATAAAATAACTGACCTCTATAAATGGAATGGCTATAAGACGTGATATTTTGTGCCTACTTGATTTAAGCCATTTTGTCGCTGACCGCAGTACTGTATATTTTCACATTGTGTCAATTTGTTCGCAATTTAACCTATGTCACGATATTAATAAGCATAACAAGTGTTACTCACACGGCTTGTGAAGTCGAATGCCACGTGCTTGTCGCCTTGCTGTACTGTCACTGTATATTTGTCGGAATATGAAGCTCGTGGCATACCACCTGAAAATATAATTATAGTTAAACCTAGATAAACGAGTGTCCAAGGGACCGCGATATTTTTCCAGGTGGTCCATCGGAACCAGATAAAAACTCCTGCTTATCCAGGTATGTCTGATGGAACCAGGATCGAAATGGACGAACGGATCTCGATTCATTTTGGCACAGAAATATAGAGTGAAAAAACTAGAGACTTATTCAGAAAAACTATATGATTCTATTATAGATTTTTCTCTTTTCGTAAGTAAGAGTTTCCTTTTTTAATGCCACAAGGACAAAGTCGTAGAAAACAGCTAGTTAGTAGTAAATTACCAGCGTATATGATGATCTCATCGTTGTCCACACTAGTCCTAATGAGGATCTTGGAGATGGCCTTGCATGGGTAAGGTCCATAGGGAGTGATGGGCTCCTTTAAGGGCCTGTCGCTTGATGCTCCCGCCACCTCCCATGTCACGTATGACCCGTCGTTGTGAGACGATGTGAAATGTTCGCCTGGAATAATTAAAATAAATTTTACGTCAGATTTATTTAAGAAAATATTTTTTTAAAAGTTTAAATAATGAGGTTCTTACCGTCATCATTCCAGCAGAGGCTCTCCAGCTGTTGGTTGGAGACGAAGCTGTGTGTGGGCGATGCGGCAGTACGGTCCCACAGCACGATCAGGCCGCGGTTGAAGCCGATCAGAATGCGTGTCGGTACTTTAGGGTGTTCGCATATCGACTCCACTGCTCCTGGATTTACTTTGAAATCTTCTGGACAGCTGGAATATCGTGCAAAAAAATATTATTTAATAATAATTCTTGTTGCGTCGAGAATACTTTTTAATTTTTTATGGGCAATGGAATAACTCACTTTTGCATAACAACATCCTGGTATATAACATCCTCGTGCAGTGTGAAGGTGTTGAGATCCAGGTTGTATATGTTGCCGGCCTCGGTACCCAGCAGCAGGCCCTTGCCGCTGGCCTCCACACAGAGGGCTGATATCCTCTTGTTTTTGCCCTCTAGTGTGTGAGACTTAAGCTCCACGAGTGACTTCTCGTTTATTTCCCAGAGGTGTAAGCTGTTGTCGTCGCATAGTGATACTAGACGACCTGTGCCTGGAAGAAATTAGAGATCAAATTAATCACAAATTTATTTTCTTCTTCTTTATTTCTTAAAACTTAAAAAGCCTCTTAGTGCGATTGTAATAAAAATATAAAATTGACATCGTATCAGACAGATATTACGGATTTTCATTTGGCGCGATCCTGGCACACCTCGCTTCTTCCACATTCATACATCTACTATACATAATAATAGGTTCTGGATACGAGGCATTTGCTTCCTTAAATTTGTAAGATTATATTAACCATGCTTACCACAAAACTTACCGTATATAAAGTATATTTGGGTTACAGCAGAGTCTGGATTTGTGTGTTGTCCGTACAATTCTACGCCGGGGCGACCGTACACTTTGAGGGCTCCAGTGGCGGTGCCGAGCGCGGCCAGCCGAAGTAGCGGGTCCCACGCGAGGGCCGACGCTCTGTGTGGAAAGCCGTGTTGCACTGTCTGAGAACAACACATACTAATGTTACGAATGTCATCATAATTATATTTCTTTACACACTAAAGAAGTCATAAATATTATCCCATGTTTACATTACTAATAATTTCATTAAGTGATTGTAGTTGGTACGTAGTTTTTTATCAGTTAGAATTGTGGCGCGAATGGCGCGCTTTCGTTACAAAGTCAAGTGTCAGGATGATTAGTGAGGGGACATAAATGCCTACATTGTAGTAAGGCTAGTGTTACGCCAGCACACCGGCACAGTGTCGGATTTTCTTAAGTTAATGTTATGATTTAATAATATTTTAAGTCGACTATTTGGTCGGTTACATTGAAGTATGGGTACGGTTTACACCATGATCGTATTGTTTATATTAAAATCTCTACGTTTGCATAACATTCTAAAAATGTGAATGCAAGCTATCGACAGGAGGAAGTCAGGTTTATAAATATTTAGTCTGTGGCGGTCTTATTTAATCGTAAATTTTGCTGAAGACATGCTTGTCTACAATAAATATGTGTGTGAAGTTAAGTGATCGTTATCGCAGGGGCTTGGCTAAACAATTATGAATTATAATTTTATAAATTGCCTGTCTTGTAATAAAGTTGTGAACGATCAAGGCTTTAAGTTTATTATACCTATGTAGAGCGTTACAGCTATCAGACGTTTGTATTTAAACGTACACACTCATAAAAGCTAAATCAATTGTGCTATTACCCGCATTGGCTGCCCGCCAGTCGAAAATATTTGATTAAAACTCTTGTCTTTGCGTTAAGCGCCAAAACTTAGTAGATAGTAGCCTTTGAATAATATTATGGGTTCGAATCTGTAATTTAAATATTTCGCTCTTACTAAAAATAAAAAAAACGTGGAGAACTCAAACGTTTCTCGTCTCTTACTGAAGAACTTTATAATTTTAAACTCATCTGCACTATGAGGTTTTCATTAAAGTAGCATAAACTAAAAAAATTGTTCAATCGGCTTGTGAAAATACAGGGGAAACATTGGATAAATGTATAGGTCAGTATCTTGGACGTACAAAGCAGAACTGAGTCAATGGGAAATCTTACTTCTTACATATATTAAAAATGTAAATGATTGGAATAGATATAGAACATAGCCTGACAGAACACATAGGATACTAATAAAGTTTTTTTTTTTAAATTTTGAATTCCACGCGAACGGTGTCGTGGGCGACAGCTAGTATGTTATAAAACTATGACGGCCACACACGTTGGACTTGCTATTATGATGTCAGTTTACAATTACAGGCGCGGTTGCTTTCGATGCCAAATGACATCATTCTATGAGGACAATCCGTCGCTCAAGACATTAACTCAATATGCTCGAACACTTTTCCCAGACGCATTTCCTTATTAAATTTTATTAACCGGTAAGTAATTGTTATTTTTTTATTCCCTTCTCATAATAAACGACGATTCAGAACAGTCTGAATATTTTAATTAAAAAAAATTGACGTTTAAGTCTTAATATCAAAAGTCCATGTGCATTTGCAATCTTGCTAATATTATAAATGCGAATGTTTGGATGTTGAAGGTGTCTCCAGAACGGCTCCTTGGATCTCGTTGAAATTTGACATAGATGTAAAACATAGACTACTAATTAAGATTTATTAAATTCCACGTGGACGGATTCGCGGTCGACAGCTAGTTATTTATAATACAATCAGGTTTTCCTTCTAATTTTGTATACATTTATTGCTCTACAATTTGCTAATGTGAGAATAATTAAATAATGGATGTCAATATTGTATTTAGTCATGTAATGGCCACGTAATACATTAATTGGCTAATGCTGGAAATGATTAAATTCCACGCGCACAATATGAATGAATTGAGAGCGGTTAATTACCACACAAGATTAACTCTGTCATTTAATTAGACGAAACAATCCTATATTATTCGTAAGGAATACGTTACATTTTAATATGCAAATCTAAAATAGAAGCCTAATTGCAAAAGATCATTAGACCTTTCGAGATAAGTTTCTCTTGTGCTCGGTTACCGCGCAATCAGTGAAACAATTTTTCAATTGCTAGGAAAAAAATCTGAAAATGTGCCAGTGTTTTGACTCAACACTAGCCTTACTAAAATGTCAACGTTTGTGTCTCCTCACTAATCATTCTGACAAGAGACTTTGTAGCGAAAGCACGTCATTCGCGCCAAAGGATTATAATTAATAATGTCTAAAACAACTAAGAGAAATATGGTCAGCCTATTAAGCAATTGTTAATCATAGTTTATAACACTTTCTTATGAATCTATTGAAGTTTTATCGTTTAACAATCACTTTAGGCAGTTAAGAGTATTCACACGTTTAAGGAAATATAATTCTTCACGGTTTAAACCAGTTAAATATATAAACGTCATTAACGTTTAGGCCAATGCACTGGTATATGTTAATAATACTAAAGTCATAATCCAACGTTCAATCAAACGTCATTCACAAGCCATATTCGCCCTTGAACCTTGACAATAGCAATCAAAATGGAAAGGACAAAGTGCGAGCTAGAGAAGAGACTAGTGGCCCATAACGGTGCATAGGAACCGGTCTAATAGACCAGTCTGGTCTAGTCTCGGTGCACGCGCACTCACATTCATATTGGTCAAAACAAATTCGTACAGAAAAGCTTAAATTGTTATTATGATATTCGAAATCGAAAATTTCCTTCCTCATTTATAATGCATCGGAGGTTATGATGGGAAAATGTTATTGCCAAATTGTACTCAAAAAGATCATAACTTTTATTTTATTTTTTTGGCTTCTTAGCAAGAATTCTTATTCGCGATAGACCCGGAAAACATGTTTTATTTGTAGAACTTTAATTGTGGTTACAAACGCATTAGTATTATAATTTAAGCTAATTATTAATTAAAAGTATTTAATAGGACAGAACGTAAGATAGTTTTTACGTATCTTGCACGTAAGCAGATTGGCGAGACCGATCTATTATTATCGTAACATCATTCACTGAGTCATCATCGAATTGGATGTTCGTGTTCTCAAGGATTTGACGTACTTTTTTTAATCAATGCAAGACGAGGTTAATAATAATTTGAATATAGGGGATTTCTTCCCCCTTGTGCAATATAGTTGTGCACCCTTAACTCCCCTTGGAGATTTTTTTCTTATAAATTAACGAAGCACATTTCAAATAATACTAAGCCAGTTATAAATTACAGAGTACGTAATAATGTCGTAACAATGCGGCGTTTTTACTTTAACACCATTCCCGCGTTCGTATTGTCACCGACAAAAAATCCTTTTAAATATGATTTTACGGTTTGTGAAGTACCAAATACAGATTTGTAGATGTAATTTTGTGAACTGTTGTCATTAAATCGTAAAAATTAGTGTTTAAATATACAAATATTAAGTGAAGCTAATAATATAATAAAAAAGCAAAATACATACGACTAGAGGACCCTAAAGAGTTACTAGATCGTCCATGTTCTAATCACGTATATTTTATATCCATATTATAGAATGACATGAAAAATATAGTTCATTCTTTGCACCTAGTGGCCTAGTTAACAAGCGATTCAGTTTATGCATGGTTGGCGTAGCGTACGAGTTGAATAATATATGGAGGACATACACATACAAGTACATACATTGCTGCATCATTACCATGGATATTTTATCGAAAAACCTATACAAAAACGTATTTTCATCTTCATTTATAAAGTACGGGAAAAAAAATAAAAACGTAAGTTACTAAGTCACAAGATAAAAATAAATCGCAATCAGAACGTTTTTATGATTCCTAAAGCTCATTACAGATTTATTAAGGCTTCATTGTCGCCCTACTTTGTGTAAATCGATTTTTACACTAAAAGGTGAATCACCAAGTTGGGAACCATTAAAGGGATGTTGTCACTTTGTGAAAAGATTACGTTTAAGTGCGTGTACGTAATACTTTGTGATTGCCTTAACATATTTAATTAAAAAAAAAGAAAACTATAATTAGTTTTTAGTTTGCAGCAAACATATACTAGTTAGTGTATTAGCGATGTCAATGGTGCTTCCGGCGTGCCATCCGGTCTCACAACACAATACACCTCGTACAGACTATTGTTGAGCGCGTTCACTTCGCTGATAACAAATTGTATTATTTTAATTGTGCAGAACCGCATTTATTTACACTACGATTTAGAGTACAGGTTTATCATATGCTTACCGTTTCCACTGGTGTAACACGTGTTTAAAAACATATAGTCATCTCTCTCATGTCCTTTGACAAATGAGCTTACAACATGTGTTTGTACAGATTTTACTACAGTGGAAACTTGTTAAGAGGAGCATTGAAGTATTTACTTTTTTAATCACATATGTACATTTATGTGTTTGTTCATCTACTCGTAGTTTTCAATGTGATGAATCATTTACTACGTAACATTTTAAGACGACATTCAGTCACAATGAACAATAAAGCATCATGAAGGTCGTTATTACCTTACGTTTTCACTGCTGAAACACATGTACAAAAACATTGCTATTTCTTTTTTTATAAAAAGAGTGAGCAAGATGAGCATATTTTTAATGTTTTCGGCAGCCACGGACACAACGACTTTGTTGTGTCAAACACAATTTAAGTTAACAGAAATCATTAAGAAAAACGAATTTGCAATGTAAAACTAAAAATATTGTCTCTAATAAGATGAAATTGACATAAGTATTTTATCGATTCAGAAAATAACACTTTGCCTTTGCCTTTTCTTAAAAAAAAAAACTTTAAGTAGTAAGGGGTTATCGTACTGCAGCAAATCGCCGGTGTCATGAATGAAAAGCAGACGCACTGCGCGACTTGAATGGTCGCAGGAAATCGAGGCTTCCTTATATGGTTTCGCCGGATTATCAAATCGATTTATTAATCGATTGAAGTGTAAAAATTTATAATAATGACTCAAAATTAGCAATGAACTATTGAACCTAATTGAATCTAATGTAGCGTTATTAACTAGTAACCAATTTAGTATA